CAACACACTGTACTGAGCTACTCTAACAGAGTAGGAGTCCTCCAACCTCCCCATCTACAGCGATATGTAAATCATGACCCACTCACAGTTGTCATAGACTTAAAGCATGTTTCTCCTACTCCTCGGTTACTGTAACTATGACGTTCACACACTTAGTTAATTCACTCTCATTGTGGAAATGGGTAAAAGAGAAAGCACTGATATGGTAATGTCACACTGCCTGTTTTTGTCGTATTTAATCTATTGCCAGAAATTAAACAAATAATTTCCACAAAGATTCAGTATTACTGCTCCACTGTTCGAAAGTGTGTGATAATAGTAGCATGGAAATTCATTGTAAATTATGTGGAATAAATCTCTTAAATCTCTTATTTCCCCTCGTATCAGAATAACAGAGTTATAATGAATATGTATGCCAATATTGTATAAGAGGGAGATGTTTAAGAACTTGGTTGGTTATTATAATAATCACTTGGATTCATTATGACCTTAGAAATGTTTCAACCTATTTTTTTGTATTATGTTTTTATTAATATTAATCACACCCACATACAGAATAAACGTACTATAAACATACTAACACAAATCAATAACTTCCACCAAACACCTCTGCACTGGAAATGTAGCCATACAGTAGGTTTGACTAACAACCAAACTGGTCCAATCAGAAGCCTGGGTTGTAGGCATGACCTTTGGTGACCCTGAGAGCCCCTAGACAGGTGGGCGGTGGCCCCTGTGGCCCCAGTACAGGGTCCATATTGGCAGTGACCCCTCTACCCTCCACCGATGGGGAGCTCAGGCCATGATGAGCAGCTGGGTCACAAGCACTAAGCACATTAATATCTTCTTAATGATAATAATCATTATGGCATAAGAACCTTCCCCAAAGTGGGCCGGCTTGTGGGAAGTGCCAGGTTAGCATCATTGTCGTTGTTAAGGTAAAAAACTGAGATGAAATGGCTCTTTTAATGGGCACTATATCTCACAGCACAGCCACCATGACAATGACTAAAGTGATGAGATTTATTAAAATAACATAGTCCCTGCAACTGTAACATCTATCAAAACACTTGACACGTATGATCAATATTTAATCACTGTGTATGAACAAAAGACACATAGAATATATTACACCAGCAACAGTCCCAACCAACCACAGCCTACAGTTTGTCTACCAACTAGAATAACACATTTTCTCTCACAACGCTTTCATTTCAATGTTGTTTATTTACTCTACACTGGACTCTCCACATTGTGGCACCACTCAACCACAGTACTGTCTTCCAGAGCTTCCCAATCCATGAAGCTACCACATCCTCACAGTGTTTCCCATGAACCCTCCATCCACCTCATTTAATATAACTGTCACTGTTCACCTTCTGTATCATAGACTATTATCTGTCTCATCCACGTTCATTATTGAAGCTAATGATCTGTTGTCCTGTCTGGTCCCCATTTGAAGGAGGACTACATTAAAAGTCTCTTACTAACTTAATTAGTAATTATAAACGTTAAAGATTAATCAGAGCGAGAGTGGTTTAAGGTTGGCATCTCCAGGCGCCGATGGGACAAATGGAAAGACAAAAGGAAGGAACAGAGAAGAACATCTCTGAACATTCTACCATTATGTCTAACTAACTACTGCCTGTCTTTGTCTAGCTGGATTTGTATTTATTTTTACGTGTCAATTAAAAGTGTCTTGGTCTGAGTCGACTGTATTGTGTTTTTATAATGATCTAAAATAATGTAAAGAAAATGTGTCAATAAAAAATGTAAACACAACAAAAGCAATTCCTGATCAACTATACTACATTTTTAAACAAAATATTTAACAAACCATAAATCTAAGCTCATGAACCAAAAAGCACTGAATCTTGTACAGAGTTTGGCTTTATTTTACAGTTGATAAGGCAAAATCACTATACTGTATGCTCTTGCTGTCTTGAATTACAAGATGAGCACATCTACTTTTGCGGGGATAATGTTGTAACAGAATACAACGTGTAAGTAATGGGATAATAAACGAGGGGCTATGCGTTCTATGGAGAATAATGAACGACGTGGAAGGTGTGTTCCACGATGCGCTAGTGGAGTGGAACTAACCTTCAACAGAGTTGCATTATCCCTTTTATACCATGGCTATAATTTAACACATTTGCTGCAAAAAATGTGTTCATTCGCAGGTAGAAATGTGTTCAACATCCACTGAAGTAGGTCGAAAGTTTACTAGATAGCTAAAGTAGTTGCCTTGGTAACCAAACAGACCTGCTAGTTTAGCTAACCAAACCATCAGTCCTAGCTTGCTATTATGAAAATCAAATTCAACAATGTAAATAATGTTTTCAATTCGACTTTTGCTTTCAAAAGCAGCTCAAACATAGAACGTGTAAGAATGAACTATAGACGTTGAATTATACCGTGTTGATATACTGTGCATTATATGGAAATAACACACACTCTAGAATGCCCTTCAAGCCAATCAGAAATGAGTATTCAACAATGCCATGCAGATGATGAATGCAGTACACACATTATCCTCCGCATAACAACATTTAAAACCATGATACAGACTAAATTTGCTCCACGCCGACAATTCCACCTCAGCAGAGACAAGTAACTGTATTAGCAATGATATGTCAACATTAATGCTTAATATGTAATGTAGCTTTCATCCTGGTAGTTCCTGTGTGAGTTCGATTTATGAGGAAGGAATCGCCCAGGACTATCTCCTCTCCCAGTGTTCCGGAGCGTGTTGACGATGGCGCCTGAGGGGACTGCAGTCACGGAACGGAACAGGGGAAACAAGGAGGAACTTTCTAAGATGAGGAGCTGAGGAGGGGAAGAGTTGGAGGGATAAAGTGCATATCTGTTTTCTCCTCATCTACAATGTTAAGAGATCAAGTAAGGAGAGACTACTGTAAGAAACTGTACACTTATCTTTTCATTGATCTAAAGGGAACATGACAATTGTTTGTAGCCTATAGTATAATTCTGAGTATAGAAAACAAGCTAAAGAAACATTTCACCAAGACAAACAACAGAAATACCACACCTTACCAAATTAAATGAAAGTCAAAATGACAAAGACTCTGAAACTGGGGGTCAAAATCTACAGTACAATTTCCTTTCTAAATGATGGGTGTCCATTTTCATGTGTCTGACCAGTCTCCTTGAGAGGAGAAATGGCGGTGCTTTCACTGCATGGTTGCAGGCAGGGCTGCTATCACACGGGACACAGGAGGGGGGTCGGGGGGGGGGGGAGCACCTGAAGCACCTGAAACCTATTAGAGAGCGCTTTGGAACATTCCACAGGGTTCCGCCACTCCGCCCCACATTGGCCAGAGGGCATCGTAAAGGTCTTCACTGAGAGGGTCGCTCCCTATATCAGATGCCCAGTTTGTTTTGTCCACAGACCCAGTGTACTGTACAGCCAGGTGAGGCAAGGTGAAACAACACAACCACCACTGCCTGAGAACGAAGGGATGATGCTTGTAAAACTGCTATACATATGTGGCTGTTGTTGTACAAGTTGGGCAATACAGCATGGCAAAGGTAAATGTTACTACTACAGCAGTGTAGGGGCAGTATAGCGATGTGAAGAGCTCTTCTGAATGGCAACAATAAAAATTAAATATGACACCTATTTTTTAAATTATGTTTTTATTAATCACACCCACATACAGTATAAATGTACTATAAACATGCTAACACAAATCAATAACTTCCACCAAACACCTCTGCACTGGAAATGTAGCCATACAGTAGGTTTGACTAACAACCAAACTGGTCCAATCAGAAGCCTGGGTTGTAGGCATGACCTTTGGTGACCCTGAGAGCCCCTAGACAGGTGGGCGGTGGCCCCTGTGGCCCCAGTGCAGGGTCCATATTGGCAGTGACCCCTCTACCCTCCACCGATGGGGAGCTCAGGCCATGATGAGCAGCTGGGTCACAAGCACTAAGCACATTAATATCTTCTTAATGATAATAATCATTATGGCATAAGCACCTTCCCCAAAGTGGGCCGGCTTGTGGGAAGTGCCAGGTTAGCATCATTGTCGTTGTTAAGGTAAAAAACTGAGATGAAATGGCTCTTTTAATGGGCACTATATCTCACAGCACAGCCACCATGACAATGACTAAAGTGATGAGATTTCTTAAAATAACATAGTCCCTGCAACTGTAACATCTATCAAAACACTTGACACATATGAACAATATTTAATCACTGTGTATGAACAAAAGACACATAGAATATATTACACCAGAAACAGTCGCAACCAACCACAGCCTACAGTTTGTCTACCAACTAGAATAACACATTTTCTCTCACAACCCTTTCATTTCAATGTTGTTTATTTACTCTACACTGGACTCTCCACATTGTGGCACCACTCAACCACAGTACTGTCTTCCAGAGCTTCCCAATCCATGAAGCTACCACATCCTCACAGTGTTTCCCATGAACCCTCCATCCACCTCATTTAATATAACTGTCACTGTTCACCTTCTGTATCATAGACTATTCTCTGTTGTACAAGTCGGGCAATACAGCATGGCAAAGGTAAATGTTACTACTACAGCAGTCTAGGGGCAGTATGGCGATGTGAAGAGCTCTTCTGAATGGCAACAATAAAAATTAAATATGACACCCTCATGTTGTGTGACCACAACATGAAAAAGGAGGCCTTTATCAAATAGACCTAAAATGTCAAGAATTACTATAATCTAACAACACACTGCAACAGATCATGTTTGTGTTCAATACTTTGCCATCTGGACTCATAACAGCCAGAGCCCAATAGTGCACTCACACTAAAAAACAAACGCACATAAACACACAGAACCCAACGCCAACTATACCGCGCTAGCTAGCTCTATGTACACACCACTGTCCCTGCACTGTCCCTGTGTTTAGCTGCAGCATCAAGGTCCATCTCTGTGCTCTGCGTTTGGCTGGCTCTCTGTCCATCCAGGCCTCAGTGTTATGCTCGGTGGGTTTAGCGAGATGTGTCTGTGGCCTCTCCTCTGGCCGCCCGTGTCCATTTGCTCTGCGGGTATGGCAGGCCCGAGCTGACAGATGGCAGCCCCTCTCCTCCACTCCCATTCTGCTCCCGCTCTGGAGGAACACAGTAACTGGTTTTTCCTCCGACGTTGACCTTGCCACAGCCAGGGAGCGATCCAGGCTGGCACTCCGCCTGTCGAACAGGAGGGTAATGAAGTCCAGTGCCGCTCACATGATTATTAAGGCTTTGACGCTGGGGGGCCTTTTGAGGGGCTCACGCTCTACCCCCCCTTCCCTCTCCTCCCATGTCTGTCGTTCACACACCGAGCGTTGATGACAACAGTCAATCGTTACACAGCACTTTGGAAAGACCAATTGTGCCCCATAAACAGTGTTCCAAAACTTTGTGGATACATTGGGTATCTCTTTGGCTCATTGTGATACGGCTTTACCACTGGAATGTTTTCTCTGTATTTGCTTTCCAGCAAAATAGTTATCTTACATCTCAACTGGATGTACTACTGTATATTCTCCCAGCTGACACCAACAGGAAAGGACTACATAGATAAACCAGACTAAGATAGATTAGTGACTCTACCATTGGTGGTGACAACCTCTAAAGCCATAGTCAGTCTACCACAACACAACGTTAGGCCTGTAATTCTCCCCATGCAGGCCGGAGGGAGGCATCTCTCTCCAGGCACGCTTAGAGTCTGGGTCACACTATGTGACGCCGGTCTGGGATTTGAGAGGTGTGGGTTGCACCGTTGACCTTTACGAAGGCAGAGCTGTCTGTTTGCACTGCTCCCATAAGCCCCCTCCCCGTCTGACTGCTTAGCAACCCTCTTGGACCGGGGCGGGCCGTGCTGCGCATGCTCCGATGGCCTCTGTGACATCTCGGAACCTCCAGGGAGGGACAGGACTGGAGAGGTTAATTCTGATCATCCAGTATTTATAGGGCACTTCAGAACAAGGGTTGGCATTAACACTCTAAAGGAGACATCCCTCCTGTATATTAATAAAACATAGAGGAGCCAGGATCGGAGAACAGGAAGAATGAGCTTTCTACCTCGAGCTCATTCCAGGTCGGCAGAGCAACCAAGTTACGTGGTAGCTGGGCTAGAGCTACAACAACCGAAATCTTCATTAGGTTTTTAATTCTAAGATAATGCTATTCTGAGGTAAGATTTCAAAAAAGCAAAAAGCAATTGTATACTGTGTGTAGGTGATAACAATGAGATAGAGTACTGCAACAGTATCTCCTCAAAAGGATTTGCCAAAATAGAATCACCATGGTGACCTGACATCTGCCTACCAATCATTTGCCTACCAGTCCAGACATTGTTCGCTCAAAGCTTGTGCAAACAAACCGTATGAACTGTGGGAGCATCACATATTTTCTCACATGTTGGCCTAGTCTGTGAGGTGTGGGGAAATGTCAAGAAAATCTATAGATAAGGACCACATCAGACTGAGCTTGTCTGACCTAGCAACAGACTATCCCAACGGTGATGTCAATTACCTCTGCTTTACAACAAACATATCTTTCCAGGAAGAGTACCTTCACCGCAATGCCATAAAAGTTTTTAATGCAGACAGTCTCTGAGTTAAAGGAAGTAGCTAGAATCCATGAGGGAAAACTGTGCAATTGAATGTGTCGAAACTAAAGATAGGAAGTATCTTTCTTTGCAGCCTGTTTCACTATTCTCCTCATGGACGCCACATTAGTCAGGCAGAGAGGTAGAATTTAACGGGAAGGAAGGTGCGCTTAATTGCATATTAGCAGCAGCACACTCGGCTGAATGGGAGGTGACTGTGCTAACGAACGGAGAGGCATTATTATTAATCACCAATTACTAAAAAGCAGGCTAGGAAATCACACTCAGTCTACTCTGTATACAGTACGCATGGCTTCCTTTTGTTTCCAGTGGCTGGTCTGGGCTGGTCGGAGTGGGGCTGGTCTGTTCTCTTATTTATTTCATAACATTGATCCAGTTCCTGTTGCTGTGGTGTGTTGTGTTTACTATTGGGTTTTGGAGTCTGTTCCAGACCCCTAGGAGTGAAATGAGAAGCTCGTTCCACTATGTTTGTTAACAGATTACATGTGTTTGCGCCTTATTAATGACTTTCATTCACTGCAGAGCACAGGTAGGCTATGTCTTACTGTTATGCTGTCTCGTGGTAATAACAAGCAAATCAAAAGAGGATTTCAGGGCAGGACATTTGGGGAGAAAAACAACAATAAAACCATTACATTTCTTTACGCACCATGAAAATAAATGTTCTTTAATGGAGTAGTGAGTGAGTGAGTGTGTCACCACCAGTGAAGAAGAGACAGTGACAGAGACGGCATAATCAACACACCCAAGCTGCTCCAGGGACCCAAAACAAGGAGGATATATGTCAGGGGTAATTTGCAGCCCTTTAGAGAGGCCTTTTAGCCTCCAATACTGCTATACTTCCCTGCTTACTCTATCATCACTAAAAGGCAAACACAATAAGGGTTGCCAGATTGGTAGATAGTATGAAAAAATAAACAGGCTTTTTAGCTCTAAAATATAGCTATACTTTCCAGCTTACACTATCATCACTAAAAGCCAAACACAGTAAGGGTTGCCAGATTGGTGGTTAGTATGAAAAACGGAGTCAGGGAGAGTCAGGGACGGAGAGATAACAGAGAGAGGTAGAAACTGTAGGAGGGCTAGAGACCTCATGCTCCTCACCCTCCTCTCTCCAGCTCTGTAACGGCCCACAGTGCCCCGCTTCACACAGAGCGGCCAGCTGTACAGCAAATGTGCCTTTCCCTCTCCGCCCCCGAACCACGTCCCCCACCCCCCTCCGCCCAGGCTGACCAGGCCACCGGCTTCGCTCTGTGAGAGGTAGAAGGCTCCTCCCTGATTTGGCTGCAGGCTCAGCGTTGTCTTGTCACCAGCCCAAAAACCGGTAGAGGTGACCCCAAAACCACTTTCTGGAATGTGCTGCCCAGGGTTTGTTTGTTTATGATTGTCCTTCTGAGCCTTGCCACCTTGGCTGGAGTAGCCACTTGGGCTGAACTAGTGTAAAAAGATAGGATCAGAGTGAAAACCAAAACTGTGAAAATGTGGGACCCTTTTTCACCTTTTAAGCACCATGCTCAGTGCCCATGCTTTACAAACGTGTCAGTGGTCACCTGAAATCCACACAGGGGTATTTGGAACATTAGGATAAATGGGTCAAAAGTCCCCCCCATGATTTTCCAAATGTCAGAGTTCACAGGGAGGTTAAAGTGAAGCTCTGTGGAGAGGTGATGGCCTGCTGGTTAAAACCCAACAGGCTTAACTGACATATGAAAGACCTTCAAAGGCAAACAGTTCAAAACAAACAATATAACTGGAAAACAAATGTCAGAGAGTTTTGTCTCATACAACCCAAATAGATGACTGACACAAATTGTTGTTGTGTCTGTGTGGAAGATGTGGAATGCCATATTCAACATCCTACACAAAGAAAGATACAAATGAGGGATTTGTGGGTTGATGACCACAACAGCTGAAAACAGTATAAATCTGTTTGTCTCTGGAGATGAATCGGACACCCTCAATTCTGTAAGTGCGCCATGCCAAAAAAAAACTCTAAACTAAAGAGTGGCCAGCTGTCTTCTGTGCTGCTATTAAATTGCTCCTTGGATGGTGGCGATATCATTTTTTTCTCCATAGGAGTATCACACCAGGTCCCCAAACAGAGCGACCAGCTGTACAGCAAATGTGTACTGATCCATCTGGGCCCTAGCAGGCTGCGGCTTCCATCTTAAGACACATGGGGCTGTTTCCAGGGCTTGGCCAGGGCTGGTCTAGCCTGGTTAAACCAGACTGAATGCTGCATTCGCATGGGGGACAATGGTTCATTCTGGTTTAACCAGGCTAGGGCTTGTCTGCAGTGTAGTGCACACTCCTCCTACAGCCCCCCCCCCCCACCAGAGCTGTGCTTTCTGTCTGTTGGAGAATAGGAGGTTGGTCTGTCATCATCCGAGCATAATATCCATGCATCAAAATGTGCTGGCAGAGGAGGACACTAGCTTGCTAGCACTTTGGTTAGGATGGGGGAGAGAGGAAAAGCTAGCCTTTTGGTTAGGATGGGGGAGAGAGGGAAGGAAGGGGGAGACAGAGTGCACTTGGCTTACGTTCGGAGACTATTGTATTACAACGATAGACAGCTGAGATTGACCTGTCTCGGTCGGTGAGACAATTCTCGGGCTCTGTTATTCCATACACTTAGCGATCGTGGAATGTCACGCCACATCACTATATATAGAGTTATCAGTGTGAAGCGACACCAGTGCGGAGGGGGGCAGGAGTGGTGCGGGGCATGGGTTGAAAACAACACCCCTATGAATCCAGCGACTGCTCCATTACCTAGGCTAATAACGCTGACAGCTGAGCGGAGATGACCCCAGACCCCCGTTTCCCCTGTCCTGTACAGATGGCCATTAAAGAGAGAAAGTGTCCCTTTATCAGGGAGAGAGAGAGAAGGTATTTAGAGCTTTTTCTAAATCAGGAAGGTGGGGTTTTCAGTTTTTTGGGGGGCAAATTAGCTTTGTGGTAATTACAGCCTGCTCCGGGTTTAACCCTCCCATTGTTGGATAGGGAGAGCAGAGAGAGACATTCCTCAGCATATACAACCAAGGTCACCTCCGAACAATGTTGGTGTAATAACATAAGTTAAGGCAATTAGTAATCATTTATTGTTTATATCTATTTCAATTTGATCTATTTGAAGTGTATAATTTTATATAAAGTGCATTCCATATATCAATATTTTATTTTGATCCATCGCACACTTGTATTTATTCTGAATAGAGTCAGAAAAGTAGGACATCCTTCAATAAACCAATCGTCTATCCATTCTTTTTCTGAAGCTGTTTGGATTCTAACATTAAGGGGGAAGTATGTGTGGCTGAAAGACATAATGTAACCAGTAGGGGGGTTGTTTTGTACCAAAACAGCATGCACCATGCCAGCCTGTGATAGAGAAAGGACTAGTGCTAGCATGGTGTTGTATTAGGCACCCCCAGTAGAGTGTAGAGAGAGCAGATCAGATTAATACAAACCAACCACACATTTACACACTTTCAGTCACACACAAACACAAGCACATGCACACACACACAGCACACCGTCAAAATCACAAATCACATGCCTGTGATTGTTTATGCACAAACAGTGTGTTCCTGATAGAATTGCCCAGTGGTCCTGATAGAATTGCCCGCCGTGTTTAAATTCACCTGCGCCTAGGAGCGCATCCCAAACAGAGAGGCGGTTTGGTTCCAGATCAATGAGTCTCTCTCCCACTGAAGACAACAGATAATGCAGTGTAATGAAAGAGCCGCCAAACGAGATGAATAAATGAATGAATAAAGGAAGGTGAGACTAGAATTCAGACACCTACTTACTACAGGCAAGAAAGAAAGAAGCCTGGCTTTTGAATTGTGTATTCGCTGCAAATAATTCTACCTGCATACAAATGAAAGCCAAAAGTAAAGACGTTTGAGAATTATAGAACAGAAGAGTGTACTCTTTGCGTTGGAATCAAGCTTTCAGAATAATAATGAATAACATTTGATTAAAGTGTTTTATCTAGAATGTGTTCAATGAACTTAGCGTATCAAATTGGATCTACATTGTTGTTTTTATACATTTCATACAGGATCAGGCATTTCAGCATTGACAGACAAACATTTCTGAAAATCAAGAGCAGGCACACACACAATGTTCATGCTTGTGTTTCACAGAGGCTATCATCATCATTTCACAAGGTATCAAAATAGAGGCTTGAATATGATATATTTATGCTAACAGTAATTATTTGTATTACATCAAAGGGTGTATTTAGTACTACACTATAGGGAGAATGTGAAAGATGTAAAGCCACGTGTAATAATATGCTCTGGATAAGAGCGTCTGCTAAATGACCAAAATGAAATATAAATGGAATATCTTGGGGAAATATGTTGAATAATAAACAATATATTGAACAGATATTCCTTTGTTTGACTACTTTAGACAGTTCCTCAAAACAAGTGACCATAAGCATAGAGAGAAAATAAGAACTGAATAACCTTACCTAGCATGTGGTTGGCCACGTGGACCTGGATGTCCCATTCGCTGTAGAAGACCATCTGACACTTGATGCACTGGTAGGTCTTCTTCTAAGCAAGAAACCAAGGGAAAAGGACAACACAAGGACACAGGGTTTTAGACTACGTCAATGTCACATTCTTACTGAGCACTCAGAGGACTTACTGAGCACTTCTTTGGCTAGAAATCCTATAACTAATGTGTGCGGTTAATCAACAAGCTGACTAGACAATCAAAAAACGTGGATACTTTTCTAATTTGGACATTTTCTAACACATTAGTTATTTAATATATGGGTTTCCCAGACACATATTAAGCCTAGTCCTGGACTAAAAAGCATTGTCAATTAAGAATCTCCATTGAAATAGTTTTTTAGTCTAGGACTAGGTTTAATCTCTGTCCGGGAAACTGGCCCATTGGGTTCATCTCCATTGTATTAAGGTCCCTCACCTCCTCAGTCTGTGAGGGGCTGGCCCTGGGCATGGGGGAGACTTGTGGGGTCCTGAGCTGCCCGCTGTTGCTGTCCCCTCCCTGCTCCCTGTGCACCTTCTGGACGTGGTTCTGCAGCTCAGCCTCCGACTCAAACTTCACATTGCAGCTGGTGCACCGCGTCTTGGCGGCGGTCGAGGAGATAGAGGAGGAGGGCGATGAGGATGAATGGGGTGGCTTGCCTTTCCCCTCTCTGGGGCTGAGTCTCTCCGTCTGAGCGGTCCATGCTGTTACAGGCATGGCTGGGGTCGTAGCCCCTCCCCCTCCCTGCTGCTGCTGCCTGCCTCCGTTCATAACCGTGGGGCTGGAGCTCTTTGAGCCGGCGGCGCTGACACACGCGGCACACAGCCCGTACGGCAGCCCGTTGATGTCCAGCTTCACCAGGTCAGATTTGGAGCGGAACTCCTTCAGGCACGAGGCGCACTTGAAGAGTTTCTGGTTGGCCTGGTGGTGTTGTTGGTGGTGATGCTGGTTGTGGTGGTGGGAGGCCAGATTGGTGGTGCGGCCGATGGGGTGGTTGGTGGACATGGTGCCGGTCTTCTGCATGTGGAAGGTGCCGTGGATCTTGAGCTCCAGGGTGGAGGTGACGGTCTGCATGCATACCACACAGCGGAAGCCCGTCAGGTAGTTCCTCAGGTCGGGGTGCATCTGGCAGTGCTCCATGAAGTCCTCCTCGCTCTGCAGGGGCATCTTGCAGATGCGGCAGCTGCCCGTGTCTAGGCTCTTGCTGTGGGTGACCTTGTGCTCAGTCAACGTGAGCAGCGAGGGGAAACGTTCTCCGCAGATGGGACACATGTAGTGCTTGACGGGGCCCAGGTGGGTCTGCATGTGTTCCCTCAGACCTGCCTCTGAGAAGAAGGTGCGTTGGCAGACGTTACACTTGTGGGTGCCCTTGATCATGTCCGACTTCCTCTTCGCCATGGCGCTCTCACCCGGGCGGATGTTGTGGTCTCGGAGCTGGTGGTTGGTGAGGAGGGAGTCCATGGTGTACGACGCCCCGCAGATGTCACACCCGAACAAGGGGTCAGCGGTGTCCACTTCCTCCTCACTCCCATCATGGTTGTTTGGGGACTCCAACACGCCCCCTGAACCTGCCGCCCCTGCACCATGGCTGTTGGTCAGGAGACCCTGTAGCTCTGCGTCATCCTTGGCCGCCGGGTGGTGGTCCGTTCCTCCGGTGGTGGATCCATTGGCGCCACAGTTCTGGGCCTTGCCCTCGAACACACAATGCTTCTCCCTCAGGTGCTTTTCCAGAAGTACGATGGCGTGGAAGGCCTTGCTGCAGAAGCGGCAGTTATACTTCTTGCTGTGGGTGGTGATGTGGCACTGCAGCTCCACCTCCGTGCCGAATGACTCCCCGCAGAAGATGCAGCGGTGGGCCCGGCCCTGGTTCTCCAGGTGGCTGTGCTTGACATGTAGCTGCAGGTCAGCCTCGTGCCTGAAGTCCCAGTTGCAGGATGTGCAGCGGTACACCTTCTTCTCGTTGCTGTGCTTGACGGCCAGGTGGAGCTGGGTGGACACCTTGGAGTCAAACACTTCCTGGCAGAGGGTGCAGCGGAAGAACACGAACGTGTGCATGTCCAGCAGGTGTTTTTGCAGGTCGTCTACCGAGGTGAACTGCTTGTCGCAGCTCTCGCAGATATAGTAGGTGGAGGTGATGGTAAAGTGGACCGTCACATGCTTCAGCAGGGACTCCTGGTTGGGGAAGTCCTTGTTGCACTGGGGGCAGGTGAGCTGGGGCTGCATCCCATCCAGGTGAGTCTTCAGGTGTGTCTGGAACAGGTCCAGGCTGGTGTACTTGGCCCCACACTGGTTGCAGATGAACTCACTAGTGCCACGATTGCCGCGAGAGGAGGAACCATGAAGGAAAGATTGATCAATCGATATGGGTGAGGAGGGGCTGAGGGTACGCAGAGACTTCTTTCCATTGTTGATGTAGTTCAGCGCCAGAGGAATGTTCTTGTGGTTTTCTTTGATATGCTTGTTCAGCTTCAGAACGCTGTTGAAGATGGGTGAGTTGGTGCAGTAGGAGCAGGAGTACACCTCCACGATGGGCTCCTTGGGGGTCACCTCTAGGGGGGAGTCAAAACGCAGGCTGCCCCCGTCGCAGTGGGTCTGACGGACGTGCTCCTCCAGGGTGGCCTCAGTCAGGAACCCCATGAAGCACTGGGGACAGAAGAAGGCATTACTCTCCTTAGCCACGGGGCTGGGGAAGCCGTGGGAGCAGCGGATGTGTTCTTGAAGAGCGTTGAGGTCACTTAGCACCTCGGTGCAGAAGTTACACTGAAGCAGGGTGTCAGGCAGGCTGCCCAGCAGGGTGGCATGGTCCTCGGCATTGTGCACCTGCTTCAGGTGCTCGTTCAGGTTGAACAGGGAGGGCAGCACCTCCAGGCAGAACTGACACGTGTGTGCCTGCTCGGGTTTGTCCAGGTGCATGGTCCGCAGGTGTATCTGAAGCACGGCAAGGCTAGAGAACACCTGCTTGTTGCAGTAGATACAGCTGTAGGAGATCTTGGGCTGCTTGGACGAGCGGCCCCCAACGTCGTGTGAGGTGTGCTGGGCGGCCCTCTTCCTCCTCCCACGGGTCTTGGGTACGGGCGGGGCGGCCTCCACCATGGTAGAGCTGTCGACGGAGAGGTTGGAGTCCGGGGTGGTGCTGGAGACAGAGGTGTAGCCCACAGTGAGCAGGGATGGGCTGTTGCTGTGGTTACTGGACTCGGGGAGCTGGTGGACATCCATGTGGGCATAGAGGTCCTCCACAGAGAGGAAGTGCTCAGAGCAGACGGCGCAGTTGTGACCTTTGCGGTCGCGGCTGTGGGCCTGGTCAATGTGGGTCAGCAGGACACCCTCGTCGCTGAAGGGCTCGTGGCAGTAGATGCACTGCAAGGCGCCACACAGGCCCCCGTCCTCCGACGGCGAGCACTCGGGGTGGCACTCGGTGATGTGCCTTTGCAACTCCTCAGGGACATCAAAGCCCTCCTCGCAGCGGCTGCACTTCCTCGTCTCCTTCAGCTTCCACTCCTCCCTGGAGAGGCCGCTGCCTGCCCCCCCCCCACCACCGTCTTTGCCCCGCTCGTGGACCTGCATGTGTCCATGGAGGGAGCTGGAGGAGAGAAAGCCCCGGCGGCACACGGGGCACTTGTGGGGCTTGTTGGAGGCGTGGGTCTTCATATGGATCTTGAGGTGGTCGCTGCGTGAGAAGGCCGAGTCGCACTCACCACAGTGGTACTTTTTGTCGCCGGTGTGCAGCTTGACGTGGCGGTCGCGGCTGCGCTTGTGCTTGAACAGGCGGCTGCAGAAGGTGCAGCTGAAGGGGAGCTTGTCACCGTGGCTCTGCTCGTGGCGCTTCAGGAAGCTCAGACGGCTGAAGGACTTGTCGCAGAACTGGCACGGGTACGGTAGGCCGGGGCCCCCTTCATCCTCGCCAAAATCATAGTCTTCACAGTGGCCGGGGGAAGTCTGGTCTTTACTGGATGGAGATGATGCAGGCCAAGAACAGGAAGGATCATCCTCGAGATCAACACTGTCTGTACAGAGATACAGAGATACAGAGATACAGAGAGAGAGAAAGAGAGAGAGAGAGAGAGAGAGAGAGAGAGAGAGAGAGATAGAGAGAGAGGATATAGAGAGAGTAGATAGAGAGAGTAGACGAGAGATAGAGAGAGATAGAATAGAAAGCATAAGAGTAGAGCATAGAGAGAGCAGGAGTTAAATGAGGAACAAGAGGGAGAGGGAGAAAGAGAGAAAGTGTTTTGTCAGATTGCATTAGGAAGTCATTTGTCTCAGCTCTGTTAAATAGTAAAGGTGGGCTGCTGTGGCATTAGTCATTATGGTAATTGCAAGGTAGCTAAGTATGAATTTACATTCCGTTGTTACTTGGAAAAAATTTCTCTTGCTACTGCATTATGCTTGCCTCTCACAGGAAACAATTCCTCACCTTAGGAGTTATCTAAAAACCTAAATTCCAACCTGTTATTCAAAGTGTAATTACAGGTAAGGAAAGAAAAATTTACATTATTTTACCACAATTAACCTTGTATGTGGCCATGTAATGGCTTAGCCCACTGTGACTTAAAATGCAATCTCTCTGACATTTAATCCCCAACACAAGGCAATGGGGAGCTTCAAGATGTAAGCCCCACATGAGGTAAATGAGACAATTTCTATTATTCTTTAAAAATTACCTGAATAGTTTAGAAGAAATAGACTTTAAAATGACCTTATGTCAAGGGAGAGAAGAAAACAAAAGTCCACATCTTAGAACATTTTATGCAAGAATTTAAACAGATAAATGTATAGTAATTCAAACACACTGTCGACACATATGTAGGAATAACACTCTCGTCACGACCGCAAAACGAATGACTTTGTAAGGGAAACGCGGTCTGTTCTGACAATTAGTCTATGGATATTAGATTATAGAATATTGGCTCAGCTGAGTGAACACCGGCTGAATGGAGCCATAAGGCAGCCGGTGCTGGAGAGATGAGTGTGCCGGGGGCACTGTGTAGGGTTAGGGTGAGGTCAGAGAGAGAGAGAGAGAGATGGGCGGAGCACGGGGGAGGATAACTACCTCACCCAAGGACAAGCAGGTGCAGTGAAGTACGTGTCATCGCTTTTATCTTTCATTTACTGTCTCTTTATCACAATCGGTTATTCATTGACATTCCAATGGTGCGTAATACAGAACACAGTGTGATATAAAATGGAAAATGCAGAACACCAGTTTCCAGCAGGTTCAAAAGGTGACGGACCACTTCTTCCCTCTGCCGAATTCTAAGTGCTGTGAACTTCCTTATTTAAATAAAACAACGTAATTCCAACCCCTTCGGAATGAAAGCCAAAGTCAAAAGGCCAAAACTTGGAACGGGAAAAACAAGAGGAAACTGCACAGATTCATGGGACGGACAAAGGAAAAGCATAAAGCCTTGATCATTCCAGGATCCAACCTTCCTCTTCACCATGCTATCTTTTAGCTGACGAATAAGTCTGTCCCCCCCCCCCCCCCCCCCCCCCTTCCCATTCTGTTGTTTTTGCTGGGGAGAGAGATCTGCCCTTCGTCAGGATAACATGCCCTCACTGAGCACTTACACCCGTCAGGGCCTATCTTCAGGAAACAGATGGGGTCGGAGGTTATTCCCCTGCCCCTCCAAACTGCTGAAAGCGGCACATTGAGGATGACCTGCCTACCTCCACACTATGAGCCTCCCGGAAACCTCCCACCTCCGACCCCCCTTCACCCCCCTGTCCCTGGCACACTGCCCACTTCGCACAAGCTCTGAGTCAAACCCAAGGAGCAGCAAAACAAACCTTGCCTGATTTACTTGCTTTCTTTATGTAGTTCATCCATGTTGCTTTTTCTGGTTGTAGGGAGGATGGGTGAGTCAGTGGATTGCCCTCCTCCACACACACACCAACACACACACACACACACACACACATTCTCCCAGGGTAGGAGTAGACAGCAAAGCAGAGAGAAATGACCCTAACCAATGCCTTACAGTCAAACATGTTGGCTAAGAAACAACACCAAAACAAACAAACAAACACATAGCCAGATACAGTAAATATATACTAAATTCAATTCCGCTTGTCTTAAATGATGATGGCACGGCTGGCAGACATTGCGATGCTGTCAAGGCTGCCTCCTCCATTCTTTGTTTAGTTTATTTATCAAATGTATATCATGTCTTTATTACATTAAGCTGCATACATTAGTCAACAGACATACCAAAGAGTGGGGGAGTGGGAGTCATGAGTAATGTACACAAGGAGTAGACAAGTGGGCCATCATTTGAGTTGAACTGTCTGATACCTAATTGAATTAACATTCTCATGGTGCATCATTGTTGATTAACACAAGTGAATTACTGATCTGTGTGTAGACATTATAGCTGTATTGACATTGGACATGTGAGTACAGTATTCCAGAGACTTGTATGTTAATTATACACGTGTTCTCCAATGTCTTCTGAATCATATCTACGCTGCTTTCTCTGTACAGTTGTTATTCCCACTTGTTTTGAAAGGACATTGGTGTACCATTCAAAAGGCCCACTGATATTGCTTTTGACAAACAGGTGGTTACTGACTCCTCGTAGATAGTAATACTGAGATACTTGTGTTTACTATACAAAATATTTGACCATATCTCATATCTGAGGGTGGCAATCACATATCACCATGGTGATAGTGCTTGAGGACAAGAGCTCAGGTAACACACACACAACCCCCCACTACACACACACACATACACACACACACACACACACACACACACACACACACACACACACACACACCATCAAGACAAGTGTGTGAACAACAGCAGATGAAAGCACTGTTCAACCCCAGGAGACCTAAGAGGAAAGAGAGATAGAGAGACCCTCCTGTATTTCCCCTCCTTCACCCAGACAAGAAATGCCTAGGTCCTCGTCAGCCTGAGTAAATAAAAGGGAGAAGGCCTGTTCTTTCACGTCCGTCCGTCCGTCTCTGGGGCCGGGGGCCTGTGCACACCAGCGCTCTCTGTGCCGCTGCCAAAGGGGATGCTGGGAGCTGAAAAAGTACACCCTGCAGCTGAAGGGCTGTCTTTGTTGGCCTGCCAAGGCCTTCCTGAGCATCCTACAGCCAACAGCCTGTCACGTCCTGGGAGGAAGACCTCCATCTTAGGGCCTGTCCCTCTACCCTGCTCTCTCTCTCTCTGGGCTCTGGAGTCTTTCCTCTCTCTCTCTCTGGTCTCTCTCACTGGGTTCTTTCCTCAGAGTTACTCTAGCCTCTCGTTCTCTTTGGGCTCTTTCCCTCTTGTTCAATCTCTCTCGCTCTCTGAGCTCTCTTGTTCTCCACCTCTCCCTTCTTTCCTTTAACCCTTAGCCTACAATTCCCCATCCAAATCTGTCTGTTTAAGTTAGAGATACACCACATTACCAAAAGTATGTGGACAGTTGCTCGTCGAACATCTCATTCCGGGGCATTAATATGGAGTTGGTCCCCCCATTGCTGCCATAACACCCTCCACTCTTCTAGGAAGGGTTTCCACTAGATGTTGAAACATTGCTGCGGGGACTTGCTTCCATTCATCCACAAGAACATTAGTGAGGTGGGCACTGACGTTGGGCGATTAGGCCTGGCTCGCAGTCGGCATTCCGATTCATCCCAAAGGTGTTTGATGGGGTTGAGGTCAGGGCTCTGTGCAGGCCAGTCAAGTTGTTCCACACAGATCTCGACACACCATTTCTGTATGGACCTCGCTTTGTATACGCTTTGGAGGCACAGTCATGCTGAAACAGGAAAGGGCCTTCCCCAAACTGTTACCACAAAGTGGGAAGCACTGAATCATCTAGAATGTCAGTGTACGCTGTAGTGTTAAGATTTCCCTTCACTGAACCTAACTAAGGGGCCTAGCACGAACCATGAAAAACAGCCGCAGACCATTATTCCTCCTCCACCAAACTTTACAGTTGGCACTATGCATTCGGGCAGGTAGCGTTCTCCTGGCATCTGCCAAACCCAGATTTGTCCGTCAGACTGCCAGATGGTGAAGCGTGATTCATCACTCCAGAAAATGCATTTCCAATGGCGGCAAGCTTTACACCACTCCAGGCGACATGGCTGCTCGGCCATGATAACCCATTTCATGAAGCTCCCGACGAACAGTTCTTGTGCTGACGTTGCTTCCAGAGGCAGTTTGGAACTGGGTAGTGAGTGTTGCAACAGAGGACAGACGATTTTACGTGCTATTCACTTCAGCACTCGGCGGTCCCGTTCTGTGAGCTTGTGTGGCCTACCACTTCGCGGCTGAGCCGTTGTTGCTCCAAGACGTTTCCACTTAACAATAACAGCACTTACAGTTGACTGGGGCAGCTCTAGCAGGGCAGAAATTTGACAAACTGACAAACTGACTTGTTGGAAAGGTGGCATCCTATGAAAGGTGGCAGCCACGTTGAAAGTCTCTGAGCTATTAAGGCCATTCTGTTTGTCTATGGAGATTGCATGGCTGTGTGCTTGATTTTATACGCCTGTCAGCAATGGGTGTGGCTGAAGTAGCCGAATCCACTAATTTCGAGGGATGTTCACATACTTTTGTATATATATATATATAGTGTATCTGTTTTTTTGCATGGGCAGCGTCTCAATCCCCCGCATACGCCAATATCGCCCTTCCTCATCCGTGGTGAAAGGTGGCAGAGCTAGAGCGGTGTTTGTCAGACCATGTCATCTCTATTGATAGATGAGACTCTCACGAACACGATGGTGTTATCCGTTTTGCTCTAGGGTGCCCACAAGCCTCACAGGAGTAGTTAAAAAAATGAATGGAAGTATATATGGAGATAGTTTAGTGCCTAAAATAATGGGGATAAATAAATGTAAAAAACAACAACCAAAACGTTTCCTGATCTTTCTTATATCTCTCAGATATAGGAAAGACACTTCAGAAAAAACCACACACACACACACACACACACACACACACGTTCTTCTATCCTCGTGGGGACCTAAAATTAATTTCCATTCAAAATCAAATTTTCCCTAACCCTAAACCTAAACCTAACCCTAACCCTTAACATAACCCTAACCTTAACCTTAACCTTAACCTGTAACCCAAACCTAAACCAAACCCCTTACCCTTAGCCTAACCCCAATTCTAACCCTAATTGTAACCCTAACCCTAAACCTAACACCTAAGCTTAAAATAGCCTTTGTCCTCATGGGGATGTGGGAAATGTCCCCACAAGGAAGATAATGTACCTTGTTTTACTATCCTTGTGGGGACTTTTGGGGATTTTAGGTCCCCACAAGGATAGAAGAACCAACCAACCCACACACACACACACACACACACACACACACACCACAAAAACACACTCACTCACCCAGAGCTTCCAAGCCAGTCTACACTGGTGTGCCACCTCTCATGTTCATTTTTAGCTGTCTCTCACAGTGTAAATATTACTGTTCAAATAAGCCCTTCAGTCAGGGACCTGGTGCCATTACTGCTCCTGCACACACACAGCTCTGCTCTTAAGGACCCATCAAGCTGACTTGCGATTGATTTCAAGCATTTAGTGCGAAAATATAGCTACACTACAGTATCAGTTAGTTCAAATTAGTTTGTTTCTGTGACCCCATTCTTCCCCATGTCTTCACTATAAAACATATTGAGAAATGATCAGGAATGCAGTCACAGGTGTGATCATCATGGTTTAGGTGGGTGAAAATATTCATACTGTAAGTTCTAGCATCTCATAGTATATACTTCTACACACTGGGCACACACTGGTTGAATTAACATTGTTTCCATGTAATTTCAATGAAATTACATTGAACCAACGTGGAATAGATGTTGAATTGACGTCTGTGCCCAGTGGGTAGAGTGTAGTACAGTGTAACTGCACATCTCTCTGGCCTGTCATCATAACTGTAACAATTTGACAGAAGAGGTGACAGCATGTGTTTTTCCCTCTCAGCTTGCGTAGCACGATAAGTCTCTGTGTTAGTCTACAGCCTCTGCCCCTAAAGCCCTGTTATGGACATCAACTTTAACGACTGAAGACAAGCTGCTTGTGATTGTTTTCTTTATCCAGTTATAACACCTAGACAGCGTTAAGCTTCTAAGGGATATGTTTTGGGAATGACTCACTTTTGGCACCTGTGACTTCCTGTCTGGGGTTCTGAGAGCAGTTCAAGGCATCTTATCTCTGCCTGACAGAAATGAACAGGGGTGGATAAAGCACCTTAACACTTATTCCAGAGCCAGGCCACTCTTATCCAATCCACTACCTTATCTTATCAGATGGAGGCTTTAGGAGATCCTCTGCCAATTCTACAGCTAGACTTTTGTAAAAATCCTGTTTCATATTTGCATGATAGAGAGAACAGGTAATGCACTTTTCCTAAATTCAAAAACCATAATCATATCTTTGTATCTTACCAGGGATCATTATAGGGATTTTCCTAGGAACTGTTTGTGTTTATGTGTCAGTGGGCATGTACATGAGTGAGGGTGTGAGTGTGAGTGTGTGTGTGTGTGTGTACACTCTTAGAAAAAAGGTGCAATGTAGAACCTAAAAGGGTTCTTTGGCTGTCCTCATAGTAGAACACTTTGAAGAACCCCTTTTGGTTCCATGTAGAACCCTTTCCACAGATGGTTCTACCTGAAGCCAAAAGGGTTATCGTATGGAGACAGCCGAAGATTCCTTTTGCAACCCTTTTTTCTAAGAGTGTATGTGTGTGTGTGTGTGTGTGTGTGTGTGTGTGTGTGTGTGTGTGTGTGTGCGTGCACGTGAGTGTGTGTGGTCGTGCGTGTGTGCTTGAGTACACGAGTGTGTGTGTGTGTGTTTCGCACAGCAGGGATTGGATATTCATTGAATAAACAAAGGACTGCCAACGCATCTGATATAACACTATGACCCCACTTCAGAGAAGAAGAACAAGGCATCCTTTACAGCTGCTGGTAAAAGTAGTAGAACAATCCCCTCGAGACTGTTGATGTGTCATCTCAAAGCACATCCCATTCTGAAGCTCCAAATAGCAATATGCGTTTGAACAACATGATATCATGTTCAGTGCTGTATGTGACACAACCACTTAAGATCTAATAAGCGGAGGCTAGAAAATGGCGCAAGGCTTTAGCTTAGTTAGCTAAAGAGACTTCCATTTTCCTGCCATGAAAAAAGGGGTTTCAATGGTTTCAATTTAGAGGCTAATTCCAGTTCTCCTCAGATGACTGGCTCATTGAGCCGACTCAGGACCCCATGCAGAGCTATTGGAGCGAGACCAGCCCAAAGGCTTTACACACAGTGCCACTGCTACACTGCTACAGCCCTGGTTAAAGAGAAATCACATCCAGTCAAAATGGAGTGCTGAACACTCCCAGCAGCTCTCAAAGAGAAGTGCCAGGTGGCCAGACATGGCTTATTGCACCAGTCTCACACATACTACGACTGACGCTTCACACAGATATTAAAACACACACACAAAGGTAGAGCTAGAATATTGTCCTCTCTTGTCCATCTCTCTCTCTCTCGCTCCCCCCTCTCCCACTCTTTCAGCAAACACAATGTGGTTTTTTTACACATCTGTGAGAAATGTCAGGCCCCGCTCGCCCCCTGCCAAAGATCAATCAAATCTGCCATGCTTTAGGAGGAAAGGGAGAGGGGACCACGGCAACATTACTGGAGGAGTAGGAGAGAGGAGAGGGAGGGATGTGTTACTGGAGGACAGAGAGCGAGAGAGGGAGATAAGGAGGGAGAGAGAGAGTGGATGATAGAAGTGTGCGTTTCCCAGGGTTTCAACGGTGCCGTAGCAACGTGTCGCTTCCCGTAACATCATGCTCATAGTGACACGCCTTGTCAAAACACAACACACACACACAGACACACATCAAAATGTGGCAGTCAACTTTTACACAGGACCTAACACACTAGCTGGAACATCAAACTGCTGCCTAGCTGTCTCAGTGGCCTGGTGTCCATTATACCGGCCCTCACGGCTCTGTCTGCCCTAACCACGGGGAACCAGCAAACTGTCAACTACTTTGTCCACATTACCCACGTCCCCCAGCACAGACAGGAGCACTTGGTCACTGTCCCAGAAATCACAGCGCCCCAGTGGTGTCCCAGGAAACGCAGACAAATGGAGGGCCAGCGGAGGGAAAGTAGGGCAGCCAGTCATCCTTTACAAACTGGGGCTTTTTTCTTTCTACGAAGACAAGGAAGGGGAGAGTGAGACAGAGCAAGGAGAGGACGAGAGGAGAGCGATTCCATTACTTATCATGGGCCCTGATCCCACTGTTCTGACGTCTTGGAGACAGACGAGACGTGTGAGCAGAAACCAAGGAAAATATTTGTCTATCCTGAAAAAATATGACAGAACATAATAAAGGCACATGCAGATAAGAGAGCAAGATGTATGACCTGTGTATGATGGGTATTTTATAGCCCTCATGTACAATCTCTTCATGTAGAAGAACCTTAGTGTTCTACTGGAGCCAATAATGAGAGATTACATGCTGTACTGTTCACTAAGAATACTGAGATCTGGTGTAATTCTAACCCAGCTATTCTGTATTACAAGATCAACACAGCCATAAAGCCATAAAGCAGTGTTTTTGTTCAACTCATGGCTGATGGAGACTAGAGGAAGAACAGATAGTTGACCATGTCAGGTACTGCAGGAGAGAAGAGAACACACTAGCAGGAAGTACACTCCGCCCCACCCCAGGCCTTGGCTGGACCCCCAGCCCCTGTGGGCCTCCCAGTGGTAGTAGGGAGGGGGAGGCAGGGGGGAGGAGGAGTGACAATCTGTCCCTCAGCACGGCCCATCACCGCCTGCCTCACTGCATTGGCTCTGGGGGAGGGAGTGCTGTGTTGGGTCTGGTACTACAGGGGGAGGCAGTGTGTACTGGTCCCTCTCCCTCACCACTGCGGCAGGCTAGTCAGGCAGACAGGCTGGAGACCGAGTGGACAACAAGCCAGGCGGAGAACCACAGCGTGCTGCTACGTTCTACCACCATCTTTTATCCCTGGTGTATTCATTCTGCCGATACTGTTGCAAAATAAAAACAATTTAACAGAAGCAAACGGAACGAATTTGTCCAATAGAAACTCTTGTTTTGCTCTGTTTGCTTCTGTTTGGCTCTTAAACAGTAAACAGTCTCCGTAATGAATACACCCCTGGTTTCACCCTCTTCCACACATCACAGTGGAGGAATTTACATGGACAGTTGTGTTTTATTTTCCCTGTTAGTTTACTCACAGATAATGTGATTTATGTCATTTAATAAAAATATATATACAGTACCAGACAAAAGTTTGGACACACCTACTCATTCCAGGGTTTTTCTTTATTTTGACTTTTTTCTAGATTGTAGAATAATAGTGAAGACATCAAAACTATGAAATAACACATATGGAATCATGCAGTAACCAAAAAAGTGTTAAACAAATCAAAATATATTTTATATTTGAGATTCTTCAAATAGCCAAATCAAAATATATTTTATATTTGAGATTCTTCAAATAGCCACCCTTTGCGTTGATGACAGCTTTGCACACTATTGGCATTCTCTCAACCAGCTCCATGAGGTAGTCACCTGGAATGCATTTCAATCCAATTTGTAAGTCGCTCTGGATAAGAGCGTCTGCTAAATTACGTAAATGTAAATGTAATTAACAGGTGTGCCTTCTTAAAAGTTAATTTGTGGAATTTCTTTCCTTCTTAATGCGTTTGAGCCAATCAGTTGTGATGTGACAAGATAGGGGTGGTATACAGAAGATAGCCCTATTTGGTAAAAGGCCAAGTCCATATTATGGCAAGTACAGCTCAAATAAGCAAAGAGAAACGACAGTCCATCATTACTTTAAGACATGAAGGTCAGTCAATACAGAAAATTTCAAGAACTTTCAAAGTTTCTTCAAGTGCAGTCGCAAAAACCATATAGCGCTGTGATGAAACTGGCTCTCATGAGGACCGCGACAGGAATAAAAGACCCAGAGTTACCTCTGCTGCGGAGGATAAGTTCATTAGAGTTACCAGCCTCAGAAATTGCAGCCCAAATATATGCTCCATAGAGTTCAAGTAACAGACACATCTCAACATCAACTGTTCAGATGGGACTGTGTGAATCAGGCCTTCATGGTCGAATTGCTGCAAAGAAACCACTACTAAAGGACACCAATAAGAAGAAGAGACTTGCTTGGGCCAAGAAAAACGAGCAATGGACATTAGACCGGTGGAAATGTGTCCTTTGGTCTGGAGTCCAAATTTGAGATTGTTGGTTCCAACTGCTGTGTCTTTGTGAGACGCAGTGTGGGTGAACGGATGATCTCCGCATGTGTATTTCCCACCGTAAAGCATGGAGGAGGAGGTGTTATGGTGTGGGGGTGCTTTGCTGGTGACACTGTCTGTGATTTATTTAGAATTCACACTTAACCAGCATGGCTACCACAGCATTCTACAGCGATACGCCATCCCATCTGGTTTGGACATAGTGGGACTATCATTTGTTTTTCAACAGGACAATGACCCAACACACCTCCAGGCTGTGTAAGGGCTATTTTACCAAGAAGCAGAGTGATGGAGTGCTGTATCAGATGACCTGGCCACCACAATCCCCCGACCTCAACCCAATTAAGATTGTTTGGGATGAGTCGGACCGCAGAGTGAAGGAAAAGCAGCCAACAAGTTTTCATCATATGTGGGAACTCCTTCAAGACTGTTGGAAAAGCATTCCAGGTGAAGCTGGTTGAGGGAATGTCAAGAGTGTGCAAAGCTGTCATCAAGGCAAAGGGTGGCTATTTGAAGCATCTCAAATATAAAACACTTTTTTGTTTACTACATGATTCCATATGTGTTATTTCAAAGTTTTGATGTCTTCACTATTATTCTACAATGTAAAAAATAGTAAAAAATAAAGAAAAACCCTTGAATGAGTAGGTGTGTCCAAACTTTTGACTGGTAGTGTACACACAACAACAACAAAAGTATGTGGACACCCCTTCAAATTAGTGGATTCGGCTATTTCAGGCACACCCATTGCTGACAGGTGTATACAATCGAGCACACAGCCATGCAATCTCCATAGACAAACATTGGTATTAGAATGTCCTTACTAAAGAACTCAGTGACTTTCAACGTGGCACCGTCATAGGATGCCACCTTTCCAACAAGACAGTTCATCAACTTTCTGCCCTGCTAGAGCAGCTCTGGTCAACTGTAAGTGCTGTTATTGTGAAGTGGAAATGTCTAGGAGGAACAACGGCTCAGCAGCAAAGTGGTTGGCCACACAAGCTCACAGAACAGGACCACCGAGTGCTGAAGCGCGTTGCGTGTGAAAATCGTCTGTCGTCGGTTGCAACACTCACTACCAAGTTCCAAACTGCCTCTAGAAGCAACTGTTAGCCGGGAGCTTCACGAAATGGGTTTCCATGGCCGAGCAGCCTCACAAAAGCCTAAGATCACCATGCTCAATGCCAAGCGTAGGCTGGAGTGGTGTAAAGCTTGCTGCCATTGGACTCTGGAGCACTGGAAACAAGTTCTCTGGAGTGATGAATCATGCTTCACCATCTGGCAGTCCGACGGACAAATCTGGATTTGGCGGATGCCAGGAGAACGCTAGCTGTCCGAATGCATAGTGCCAACTGTAACGTTTGGTGGAGGAGGCATAATGGTCTGGGCCTGTTTTTCATGGTTCGTGCTAGGCCCCTTAGTTCCAGTGAAGGGAAACCTTAACGCTACAGCATACAATGTCCTTGACCCTAGATGATGCTGTGCTTCCAACTTTGTGGCAACAGTTTGGGGAAGGCCCTTTCCTGTTTCAGCATGACAATGCCCCACAGTGCACAAAGTGAGGTCTATACAGAAATGGTTTGTCGAGATTGATGTGGAAGAACTTGACTGGCCTGCACAGAGCCCTGACCTCAACCCCATCGAACACCTTTAGGATGAATTGGAATGCCGATTGCGAGTTAGGCCTATCGCCCAACATCAGTGTCCAACCTCACTAATGCTCTTGTGGCTGAATGGACGCAAGTCCCCGCAGCAATGTTCCAACATTTAGTGGAAAGCCTTCCCAGAAGAGTGGAGGCTGTTATAGCAACAAAGAGGGGACCAACTCTATATTAATTCCCATGATTTTGGAATTAGATATACGACAAGCAGGTGTACACATACTTTTGGTCATGTAGTGTGTGTGTGTGAATATATATATATATATATATACAGTGCATTCGAAAGTATTCAGACCCCTTGACTTTTTCCACATTTTGTTACGTTACAGCCTTATTCTAAAATAGATAAAAATTAACTGTTTTCCTCATCAATCTACACACAATACCCCATAATGACAAAGAAAAAACAGGTTTTTAGACATTGTAGCAAATTTATTAAAAATAAAAAAACCTTATTTACAGAAATGTTCAGACCCTTTGCTACGAGAATCGAAAATGAGCTCAGGTGCATCCTGTTTCCATTGATCATCCTTGAGATGTTTAATAAAATGACTAAATGTTTCTACAACTTGATTGGAGTCCACCTGTGGTAAATTCAATTGATTGGACATGATTTGGAAAGGCACACAACAGTCTTTATAAGGTCCCACAGTTGATAGTGCATGTCGGAGCAAAACTCAAGCCATGAGGTCGAAGGAATTATCCGTAGAGCTCCGAGACAGGATTGTGTCGAGGCACAGAACTGGGGAAGGGTACCAAAAAATTTCTGCAGCATTGAAGGTTCCCAAGAATACAGTGGCCTCGATCATTCTTAAATGGAAGAAGTTTGGAACCACCAAGCCTCTTCCTAGAGCTGGCCGCCCAGCCAAACTGAGCAATCTGAGGAGAAGGGCCTTGGTCAGGAGGTGACCAAGAACCCAATGGTCACTCTGGAGAATCTGTGGAGAATTTGTGGATGTTTACTTTATTGAACCACTTGAGTAGCCTACCTCTTATCATGTTCCGTCCAGTGGAAAGCGGAGGTCAGTGAACCTTTCAACCTCCCATCACTAAGAACATGTTTAGACAATCGCCTGTTTCAAAGACCTCCAGTGTCTCAGGGCACGACGCTAGCTACAGTACTGAGACAGGTCAAGCATGGAACCAAGGAGAGGCTACCAACAGACAGACAGACGCTAGGTGCTAGTGTTAGCATGCACCAGACACCCTGACCCTTGACCTCTAAGCCATGGCATTGAGACAGTCCAGGAGGGAGTGGAAAACATGCACCTCGGTGGAGAGGAGAGGGGGTTGGGGGATGGAGGGATGGAGTAAGGGAGGGAGGAAGGAAAACAAGCAAACAGCCCAAGCAAGACATGTATTTTCATGCATCCCTGTCTTAAATGCCAAGATTTCCTAACCCTCAGATGACTGTAGCACTGACACTTCTCAGAGGTTCAACAGAAACCGCATTCATTAATAATTAGCCGAGCTGAGAGTTGAGAGGACAGGCGGAAAGAGAGAGAGAGACAGAGAGGGGGAGAGAGATCCAGGTAAACTCCAACCCCTTCCCTAGGCGTCTGTGCCGGGTTTCTGAGTGGAGGCTACAGACGTCACCGTCCTCCTCTCCTTCTCCTTCTCCTCCTCCTCCTCCTCCTTGTTCTCCTTAATCATGACTCTAATACACTCCAGATGAATAAACATCTTCATCCTGCTCCTCCAAAGCCAGAAGGCTCCTCTCCCCTCCCAATCCAAGGGAGAGAGAAGGAAGGAGGACAGACGGACAGATGGATGGGTGGATCAATGGTAGAAACGAAATCAACAGCAAAATGTAACAAAGCCACCACCGCCACGACAGCAATATATTCCTGCTTCTTCTCCGCTCGCAAACTCGTCTGATCTATCTCCCCCCTGACACAATTATCACAGTCCCTCTAATTATTTTTTTTACTGATCGTTAATAGCAGGTCGGCTCTGTTTTTATGTTTGTGTTCATAAAGCAGATTTCTGGGCTGCCATTAAACCTGTTCGTAGTCTCAGACTGTGTCCACATTACAACTGAGAGGCAGGAAGAGAGGATGATCTCTGGAGGATGGGCCAGGCCCCTGATCAACACTTCCCCCTCTCTCTCTCCAACCTCCGCTCCCCGACTGAGGAACCGTGCCAGGAGTCCCATGCAATGTGTGTACAGTATGGAGTCGTCAAATGACAGACACATTTAGGGGGGGTTGGCTTTATGGCTTTGTTTTCCCTCCTATTATTTTCTTTCTGCTTGTATCAAGGGTGTTCATCGCATCACAATGACAACGTGCTCTAAAAACATTGTTGTGTATTTTACGGACGGACATATCATTGCGGAAGATTACAACTCCTTCTCATCTTGCCCCTCATGCTCATTTGCTGCACCGTGTGTGAGATAGGCCTGGATTTTTTTAAACAAAAAAGTCTAACCTGGTGTAGCCTATATTGACAAGTTTACATGGCCACCTACGTAGTTGGTGAAAACTTTGATTTGGTAAAATTCCAAGAACTCTGGGTTTCAATCACGGAATCATCACCATTACAAACAAATTGCTGTGGTCCTCTATCCTTACCCATAATGCCCTTCTTCTGGGTCCCTCTCAGATCCGTATTTACTTAGCATAAGCTTTCTCTCACTCTGAGTGTGGCTTGGTAACCATTTACTTAGCTACACATCTCCCATCTCCACCACCTGGGAGGCTATATTTAGTGTGTTCTCCAGAGAGGAACTCAATCTGACTGCCAAACAACGCCCCCGGATGAATTATCATCATCACCCATTCAATACGGAATTAAGATCTGAAGGAAGATTTTCTCTAGCATCATTTCACATTCAAATCAACCCATAAACAACACATGGACTCTCACAAATATAGAGTCTGAATATACACTGACTGTACAAAACATTAGGACCATCTGCTCTTTCCATGACAAAGACTGACCGGTGAATCCAGGTGAAAGCTATGATCCCTTACTGATGTCACCTGTTAAATCCACTTCAATCAGTGTAGATGAAGGGAAGGAGACAGGTTAAAGAAGGATTTTTAAGCCTTGAGACAATTGAGACATGGATTTTGTATGTGTTTATTCAGAGGGTGAATGGGCAAGACAAAATATTTAAGTGCCTTTGAACGGGGTATGGTAGTAGGTGCCAGGCGCACTGGTTTGTGTCAAGAGCTGCAACACTTCTGGGTTTTTCACGCTCAACAGTTTCCTGTGTGTATCAAGAATGGTCCACTACCCAAAGAACATCCAGCCATCTTGACACAACTGTTGGAAGCATTGGAGTCAACATGGGCCAGCATCCCTGTGGAACGCTTTCGACACCTTGTAGTCCATGCCCCGACGAATTGAGGCTGTTCTGAGGGCAAAAGGGGTGCAACTCAATATTAGGATGTTCCTAATGTTTTGTACACTCAGTGTACATAGTGACACATATTTACTACAATCTAGAGTTCTAGGTTGGCTACTATAGGATTCTAGGAACCTCAGTACATAGGAACTTCACTACATAGGATCTTCAGTACATATAGTAGTACCGTATGCTAGAAAATATTACGCTCATTGCCACAACTTGCTGGCAGCAGAGGAGGATTTGGTTATGGTGTTTGAGTCAGTCAGTAATCTCACGTCCATCACCAATGGACAGCTTAGTGTGATGAAGCCATTTCAAGGATCATCATTCCGGGGAATTAGTGTAATAGTCCCCCAATATCAGTTATCACTGACAGCTACATCCATATCAGCTAATTACTCTTCTCTACACTGGGCTATTAACAGTATTACAGACTAGAACGACACCAGCACAACACTTATCTGGCTATCTGACTGTAGTACAGACCATTTGAATAGTACCCTACTGTAATATACACACATGTGATGACAAGGGGTTTGCATGTTGACTTCACAGACATGCACCAATAATTATTTTACTTTGTAAAAACTTTAGATGACTATAAAAAAGGTGACATTTAATTAGATTTAGCATGCAAATAAGTAAGAGATCAAGAGAATCAAACGAGAGAGAGAGAGAGAGAGAGAGAGAGAGAGAGAGAGAGAGAGAGAGAGAGAGAGAGAGATCAAGACAAAGAAAGAGAGATATAGATATCAAGAGATTGCAATATAGAGATAGAGATGAGATTACCACAGGAGTGCCCATCATGACAACACACAAAATAACCCGATCCTCCTGGTCACAGGATCCATGCTGGGTAGTCACCTCACCACCATACATCAAGCACCAACACTGGAAGTAGCAGATAGGTTGGAGGCGTGCCGGTTCCCTTCCTCAATTTGTATTTTCCTGTGCGTCCCTGGGTTAGTAAGGTGAGTGTCACCGTCGCCATGCCGACTCTTCATTGTCTCCGTGAAGAGCTTGGCGAGGGGAATAGAATACCACGCACTGTGCATACAGAAGGGAGGGAACATGGGCACATAGGTGGCGAACGCACAGCCCCCTGGGTAATTTGTAAAACATGAGCCAAGCCACTTCAACGCCCTGCTGAGGCCCGGGTCAGGTGACTAAGTAACAGTTACAACATGGGAGAAATCTCCAGTGAGCAGACGTAGGAGACTCCAACTGTAAAGTTTAAGAGTGCAACACTCGTGTGCGAAATTTATTTCATAATTTCGGATATAAAGTTGAATATACAATACCAGTCAAAAGTTTGGATACACCTACTCATTCAAGGGTTTTTCTTTATTTTTACTATTTTCTACATTGTGGAATAATAGTGAAGACATCAAAACTATGAAATAACACATATGGAATCATGTAGTAACCAAAAAAGTGTTAAACAAATCAAAATACATTTTAGATTTTTCAAAGTAGCCACCCTTTGCCTTGATGACAGCTTTGCACACTCTTGGCATTCTCTCAACCAGCTTCACCTGGAATGCTTTTCCAACAGTCTTGAAGGAGTTCCCACATATGCTGAGCACTTGTTGGCTGCTTTTCCTTCACTCTGCGGTCCAACTCAACTCAACTCCATCTCAATTGGGTTGAGGTCAGGTGATTGTGGAGGCCAGGTCATCTGATTCAGCACTCCATCACTCTCCTTCTTGGTCAAATAGCCCTTACACAGCCTGGAGGTGTGTTGGGTCATTGTCCTGTTGAAAAACAAATGATAGTCCCACTAAGCGCAAACCAGATGGGATGGCGTATCGCTGTAGAATGCTGTGGTAGCAATGCTGGTTAAGTGTGCCTTGAATTCTAAATAAATCACAGACAGTGTCACCAGCAAAGCACCCCCACACCATAACACCACCTCCTCCATGCTTCATGGTGGAAACCACACATGCAGAGGTCATCCGTTCACCTACTCTGCGTCTCACAAAGACAAGGCGGTTGGACCAAAAATCTCAAATTTGGACACATCAGACCAAAGTACAGATTTCCACCGGTCTAATGTATATTGCTCGTGTTAGTTGGCCCAAGGAAGTCTCTTATTTTTATTGGTGTCCTTTAGTAGTGGTTTCTTTGCAGCAATTCGACCATGAAGGCCTGATTCACGCAGTCTCCTCTGAACAGTTGATGTTGAGATGTGTCTGTTACTTGAACTCTGTGAAGCATTTATTTGGGCTGCAATCTGAGGTGCAGTTCACTCTAATGAAGTTATCCTCTGCAGCAGAGCTAACTCTGGGTCTTCCATTCCTGTGGCGGTCCTCATGAGAGCCAGTTTCATCATAACGCTTCATGGTTTTTGTGACTGCACTTAAAGAAACCATCAAAGTTCTTGACATTTTTCGTATTGACTGACCTTCATGTATTAAGGTAATGATGGACTGTCGTTTCTCTTTGCTTATTTGATCTGTTGTTGCCATAATATGGACTTGGTCTTTTACCAAATAGGGCTATCTTCTGTATACCACCACTATCTTGTCACATCACAACTGATTGGCTCAAACGCATTAAGAAGGAAAGAAATTCCACAAATTAACTTTTAACACCTGTTAATTGAACTGCATTCCAGGTGACTACCTCATAAAGCAGGCTGAGAGAATGCCAAGAGTGTGCAAAGCTGTCATCAAGGCAAAGGGTGGCTACTTTGAAGAATCTGAAATATCAAATATATTTTGATTTGTTTAACACTTCTTTTTTGGTTACAACATGATTCCATATGTGTTATTTCATAGTTTTGATGTCTTCACTATTATTCTACAATGTAGAAAATAGTCAAAATAAAGAAAAACCCTGGAATGAGTAGGTGTGTCCAAACTTTTGACTGGTACTGTATATATATATATATATACAGTGGGGAAAAAATGTATTTAGTCAGCCACCAATTGTGCAAGTTCTCCCACTTAAAAAGATGAGAGAGGCCTGTAATTTTCATCATAGGTACAAGTCAACTATGACAGACAAAATAAGAAAAAAAATCCAGAAAATCACATTGTAGGATTTTTAATGAATTTATTTGCAAATTATGGTGGAAAATAAGTATTTGGTCAATAACAAAAGTTTCTCAATACTTTGTTATATACCCTTTATTGGCAATGACACAGATCAAACGTTTTCTGTAAGTCTTCACAAGGTTTTCACACACTGTTGCTGGTATTTTGGCCCATTCCTCCATGCAGATCTCATCTAGAGCAGTGATGTTTTGAGGCTGTCGCTGACTTTCAACTCCCTCCAAAGATTTTCTATGGGGTTGAGATCTGGAGACTGGCTAGGCCACTCCAGGACCTTGAAATGCTTCTTACGAAGCCACTCCTTCGTTGCCCGGGCGGTGTGTTTGGGATCATTGTCATGCTGAAAGACCCAGCCACGTTTCATCTTCAATGCCCTTGCTGATGGAAGAAGGTTTTCACTCAAAATCTCACGATACATGGCCCCATTCATTCTTTCCTTTACACGGATCAGTCGTCCTGGACCCTTTGCAGAAAAACAGCCCCAAATCATGATGTTTCCACCCCCATGCTTCACAGTAGGTATGGTGTTCTTTGGATGCAACTCAGCATTCTTTGTCCTCCAAACACGACGAGTTGAGTTTTTACCAAAAAGTTCTATTTTGGTTTCATCTGACCATATGACATTCTCCCAATCCTCTTCTGGATCATCCAAATGCACTCTAGCAAACTTCAGACGGGCCTGGACATGTACTGGCTTAAGCAGGGGGACACGTCTGCCACTGCAGGATTTGAGTCCCTGGCGGCGTAGTGTGTTACTGATGGTAGGCTTTGTTACTTTGGTCCCAGCTCTCTGCAGGTCATTCACTAGGTCCCCCCGTGTGGTTCTGGGATTTTTGCTCACCGTTCTTGTGATCATTTTGACCCCACGGGGTGAGATCTTGCGTGGAGCCCCAGATCGAGGGAGATTATCAGTGGTCTTGTATGTCTTCCATTTCCTAATAATTGCTCCCACAGTTGATTTCTTCAAACCAAGCTGCTTACCTATTGAAGATTCAGTCTTCCCAGCCTGGTGCAGGTCTACAATTTTGTTTCTGGTGTCCTTTGACAGCTCTTTGGTCTTGGCCATAGTGGAGTTTGGAGTGTGACTGTTTGAGGTTGTGGACAGGTGTCTTTTCTACTGATAACAAGTTCAAACAGGTGCCATTAATACAGGTAACGAGTGGAGGACAGAGGAGCCTCTTAAAGAAGAAGTTACAGGTCTGTGAGAGCCAGAAATCTTGCTTGTTTGTAGGTGACCAAATACTTATTTTCCACCATAATTTGCAAATAAATTCATGAAAAATCCTACAATGTGATTTTCTGGATTTCTTTTTCTCAATTTGTCTGTCATAGTTGACGTGTACCTATGATGAAAATTACAGGCCTCTCTCATCTTTTTAAGTGGGAGAACTTGCACAATTGGTGGCTGACTAAATACATTTTTTCCCCACTGTATATATATATATATATATATATATATATATATATATATATATATATATATATATATTATGACATAAATCAAATTTTCTGTGAGTAAACTAACAGGGAAAATAAAACACAACTGTCCATGTAAATTCCCCCACTGTGATGTGTGGAAGAGGGTGGAACCAGGGGTATATTCATTATGGAAACGGTTTACTGTTTAAGAACCAAACAGAAGCAAACAGAGCAAAACAACAGTTTCTATTGGACAAACTTTTGACTGGTACTGTATATGAGGTAACTACTGCCTCTTAGTACAATGGAGTGAACTGTCCAAAGGTCATTCACATTATTGCAAATATACAGTGGGGAAAAAAAGTATTTAGTCAGCCACCAATTGTGCAAGTTCTCCCACTTAAAAAGATGAGAGAGGCCTATAATTTTCATCATAGGTACACTTCAACTATGACAGACAAAACGAGAAAAATAAATCCTGAAAATCACATTGTAGGATTTTTAATGAATTTATTTGCAAATTATGGTGGAAAATAAGTATTTGGTCAATAACAAAAGTTTCTCAATACTTTGTTATATACCCTTTGTTGGCAATGACACAGGTCAAACGTTTTCTGTAAGTCTTCACAAGGTTTTCACACACTGTCGCTGGTATTTTGGCCCATTCCTCCATGCAGATCTCCTCTAGAGCAGTGATGTTTTGGGGCTGTCGCTGGGCAACACGGACTTTCAACTCCCTCCAAATATTTTCTATGGGGTTGAGATCTGGAGACTGGCTAGGCCACTCCAGGACCTTGAAATGCTTCTTACGAAGCCACTCCTTCGTTGCCCGGGCGGTGTGTTTGGGATCATTGTCATGCTGAAAGACCCAGCCACGTTTCATCTTCAATGCCCTTGCTGATGGAAGGAGGTTTTCACTCAAAATCTCACGATATATGGCCCCATTCATTCTTTCCTTTACACGGATCAGTCGTCCTGGTCCCTTTGCAGAAAAACAGCCCCAAAGCATGATGTTTCCACCCCCATGCTTCACAGTAGGTATGGTGTTCTTTGGATGCAACTCAGCATTCTTTGTCCTCCAAACACGACGAGTTGAGTTTTTACCAAAACGTTCTATTTTGGTTTCATCTGACCATATGACATTCTCCCAATCCTCTTCTGGATCATCCAAATGCACTCTAGCAAACTTCAGACGGGCCTGGACATGTACTGGCTTAAGCAGGGGGACACGTCTGGCACTGCAGGATTTGAGTCCCTGGCGGCGTAGTGTGTTACTGATGGTAGGCTTTGTTACTTTGGTCCCAGCTCTCTGCAGGTCATTCACTAGGTCCCCCCGTGTGGTTCTGGGATTTTTGCTCACCGTTCTTGTGATCATTTTGACCCCACGGGGTGAGATCTTGCGTGGAGCCCCAGATCGAGGGAGATTATCAGTGGTCTTGTATGTCTTCCATTTCCTAATAATTGCTCCCACAGTTGATTTCTTCAAACCAAGCTGCTTACCTATTGCAGATTCAGTCTTCCCAGCCTGGTGCAGGTCTACAATTTTGTTTCTGGTGTCCTTTGACAGCTCTTTGGTCTTGGCCATAGTGGAGTTTGGAGTGTGACTGTTTGAAGTTGTGGACAGGTGTCTTTTATACTGATAACAAGATCAAACAGGTGCCATTAATACAGGTAACGAGTGGAGGACAGAGGAGCCTCTTAAAGAAGAAGTTACAGGTCTGTGAAAGCCAGAAATCTTGCTTGTTTGTAGGTGACCAAATACATATTTTCCACCATAATTTGCAAATAAATTCATAAAAAATCCTACAATGTGATTTTCTGGAAAAAATATTCTCAATTTGTCTGTCATAGTTGACGTGTACATATGATGAAAATTACAGGCCTCTCTCATCTTTTTAAGTGGGAGAACTTGCACAATTGGTGGCTGACTAAATACTTTTTTTCCCCACTGTATGATGATGTAGACCTATAGCACCTCATACTCGCAAAACCACCAAAACCCACCTTTATGTCAATAGACAGCTAGAATCCAGAGATGGACAAAGAACTCAAACTATTTATATTGTGCAGTTTTAGCGAGTGGTTGGTTGGTTGAATGGTCTTTAATTCACTCTGCAGTGTCTATAGCTGCACTCAGGTTTAAAGGGCCACTGAACACGTCGATTGGCAAGTGTGTTTTTCTGTTGCTGAACAGAAAAACGAGATTTCAGTCTTGGAGGTGTGTTTCCTGACCGATTCCGTGTTTGGTTAATGATGTTTGTCCCCCATGAGACACTGTAGATGCGGAAGCCTATTTCACTTCCTCAAAATCCCAAGAATGAATCTCAGATAACTCAAGAAATCTGTAATAACGTTTTTGCCAAGGATGTTTTAGTTGCGAATTTTACATCTAACTAAGTTGTTTGGTGCAGTATTTCTCAACTAAAAAAATTTGCGACGTCTTGTTTTATGTAAACAAAGTCTGTCTATCTGTCTATGCTATTCAATAGAGAGCAATCACTGCAGCTGTTCACCCCATGTTAGTGGGCAAATGTACATCGTCAAATCAAAACCCAACCTTCATTTAGCCGTTGTGACGCACGGATGTTCCAAACTCCGTTTGAGATGAGACTGACATTATGACAAAAACTATTCTGTTTACACTTTCTAGTAATATTTGACACTAGAATAACTGTTTCTGACTCATATTGGTGCCACATAGGCCTTCGGATTCGTTGCATTTTAAAGGCAGTTGTTCTTTAAGGTCAGAGACGCAACCAACTGCCTTTCTTCTACTGTATGAATTGTTTGAAGCGCTATGCACCAATGCCCCTTCTGAAACACACAAACGCATGCACACACATGCACGCATGCACAAACACACATGAACCCCCCATCCACACACACACATCGCCTTAATAAGAGGGCTTGATTAGGATTCGGCGGACACAGCATCCTGCATGCACGGTCAGGGTGTACGCTTTGCTAGGCCTCAGATAACCTTTATCCTATAGGGTTTAATTACTGTCAGCTACTCCGCTGTTTGCCTTTCACGAGGACATGACTTATTCCTCCCTCTGCCCTCGTGGAGCACCAAATCCCTCTGTTTCCCTGGTGCGGGCAGACCGGCTGTCTTGTTTATCCCAACTACAGGTATGCTACGGCTGTCATATTAAGGCCACGGCTTGTTACAGGGAAAAGGGTGAATTATTTACCAATAGAGGAGAGAGGGAGGGATGGAGGGAGAGGGAGAGAGGAAGAGAGGGGGGGGAGAGAAAGAGAGAGAGAGAGAGGTTGCATGGTGCATGTGGCTGGGGTTTTACGTTGGTTTTGAGGTTATGAAAAAGACAAGATAAATCATTTACATTTAAGTCATTTAGCAGACGCTCTTATCCAGAGCGACTTACAGTTAGTGAATACATTTTTTTTTTTTTTAAATGTAATACTGGCCCCCCGTGGGAATCGAACCCACAACCCTGGCGTTGCAAACGCCATGCTCTATCAACTGAGCTACATCCCTGCCGGCCATTCCCTCCCCTACCCTGGACGACGCTGGGCCAATTGTGCGCCGTCCATGAGTCTCCCGGTCGCGGCCGGCTGCGACAGAGCCTGGATTTGAACCAGGATCTCTAGTGGCACAGTTAGCACTGCAAAGCAGTGCCTTAGACCACTGCGCCACTCAGGAGGTTAGACATTAAAATGTCTAATCATCCGTAGACATTAAAAATAAGTCTGCATGGCTTCCCAGTGGAAGGCAGATAGGGGGAGAGAGGTCATTTCCTGCTGTGGGAAACAAAATGCAGAATACTCCTGATCACCTTTATAGATTATTGAATATACAGTACATATATAATTGTTAGAGAAAGGTGACACTTCAAAAACAAGCAATGATGCTTCAATGATTACTCCATATCAGCTTCCCTATAACCTCAACGGATGATAAATCAGATTTAATTGATAGCAGTAATCTATAGTCAAACATCATAGTATCACATAATATTTTAACATGTTCAGCAGCAAGACTGAATAGGCATTCCAAGCAATCAATTGGCATTGCTTGGATATGTTGTCATAGATAGATAGAGAGGTCATTGTCCAATAGAAAAGTGTGGGTGTGATGCACCCTCTCTCCACCCAGATCACATTCTATCTGTCTGTATTCTATCTGCACCTCAGCATCTCTGCCTCGCACTAGAACAAAACATAGAGGAAACAAAAGGGAGCACAGAGGGAAGGCATACAGAGACAGACCGAACAATAAACTCAACCACAAGAGAGAGGGTTTGTGAGTGTGTGTGCATGTGTGTCTGAGAGAGAGAGAGAGAGAGAGAGAGAGAGAGAGAGAGAGAGAGAGAGAGAGAGAGAGAGAGAGAGAGAGAGAGAGAGAGAGAGAGAGAGTGTGTGTGTGTGTGTGTGTGCAGGGGCATGTGCCCCCTCAGATTTGTCCTGTTTATAATAATAATAATAATAATAATAATAATAATAATAATAATAATAATAATAATAATAATAATAATAATAATAATAACAATAATAATAATAATAATAATAATAATAATAATAATAATAATAATAATAATAATAATACCTCAAAAATATTTTGTTGATTTTGTTGTTGTTGTTTCTCTGTAATACTACTAGCCACCAAGAAATGTTATGAAGTTTGCTTTAGCTAGCCCAGATAGGTTTCCAATCTCCCAACCTCATAACTAGCGAAGCTATTTTTGGCTATCAATCAAGTTAGAGTAGCTAGCTTGTCTAACTATCTTTCTTAGCTGGCATGCCTGCTGGCAAGGTTGGTAGACTTTAGAAAAGCAAGCAATTACTAAACGTACTGAATAAGACTCACATTCCTTTCAATCTTTTACCCACCTTTTAGCAGATATGCAGAGAAGAATACACTGAGTATACAAAACATTAGGTTTTTCCATGACATAGACTGACCAGGTGAATCCAGGTGAAAGTTATGATCCCTTATTGATGTCACCTGTTAAATCCACTTAGAAGGATTTTTAAGCCTTGAGACAATTGAGACGTGGATTGTGTACAGTATGTGTGCCATTCAGAGGGTGAATGGGCAAGACAAAATATGTAAGTGCCTTCAAACAGAGTATGGTAGTAGGTTCCAGGCGCACCTGTTTGAGTGTTTCAAGAACTGCAACACTGCTGGGTTTTTCACGCTCAACTGTTTTCCCGTGTGTATCAAGAATGGTCCACCACCAAAAGGACATCCAGCCAACTTGACACAACTGTGGGAAGCACATCCCTGTGGAACGGTTTCGACACCTTGTAGAGTCCATGCCCCGACAAATTTAGGCTGTTATGAGGACAAAAGTGGGTGCAACTCCATATTAGGAAGGTGTTCCTAATATTTTGTACACTCTGTGTATTTAGTTTCTTTAAAAACAGAACCACCAGGATACAGACAGCTCAATAGGTATGCTTAAAATTATTTTTTTACATAGAGTTAAGCATCATGATTATGGCTCTAGATTGCAGGAAAAAGCTGCTTCAGGTGTTTGAAAAAAGCCATCTTCACATACTTTGTGCCCCCTCAGATTTTTGGGGTGCATTACACCACTGTGTTTGTGTGTGTGTGTGTGTGTGAGTGCGTGTGAGTGAGAGTTATAGTGTGAGAGTGAGAGTGAGAGTGAGAGTGAGAGTGAGAGTGGGAGAGAGAGAGAGAGAGAGAGAGAGAGAGAGAAGGAGAGTAGGAATATGAAGACAAATGCAGAGAGGGAAAGAGACAGAGGGAGAGAAAATGAAAGACAGAGAGAGAAATCTAATTTGCAAGAACATAACAAAAAGCTGTATCTCAGACAAAAGAGAACACACAAGGGTATTTGTCTAGCTGTCTACTCCAGCAGCCTCCTCTAAAAGTTTATTAAACTAGAAGCCTTCAAGAGAAGGCAGAGAGTAGAAAACTACACAACTGGGGAGGAGAAGAGAGAGAGAGAGAGGTGTGTGTGTGTGGGGGGGGGGGGGGGTTGCATTAAGCAACCTCCCCACTGAGTTTTGCTCCTCCTTCCTGGTGTGGATAAAGCTATCCCTCGGGGAAGCCGCCAGTAATTTCCAACTTCGCCAGAAACTCAGGTATTAGAAAAGACCGCTTGGGGACCTGCCACAATATACCTTTGCAATTTCAGAGCCGCTCTGAAAATAAGAGGGAAGGAGGGAAGCCCCGCCAAAACCTACCTCCCCAACCCCCAACCCCCTTGAGGGTCCCCAGTTCAAATTTCTGAAGTGCAGACAGGGGGTGTGGTGTATATGTCGGGGAGGCAGGGAGGGCCTGTGGGAGCGTGTGCACCAGCAATAGAAAATCCACTGCAAAGAGAGAGAGAGAGAGAGAGAGAGAGAGAGAGAGAGAGAGAGAGAGAGAGAGAGAGAGAGAGAGAGAGAGAGAGAGAGAGAGAGAGAGAGAGAAGAGAAGAGAAGCATTTCCTCTTTGGTCTGGCAGAAGTGCCTTTTTTCCCCTGACTCCCACCAGAGGCTTTTTACAAAACATGTGTTGCTGACATGTTGACAGATTGCTCAGCGAAGTGTTAGGCGCATGCACACGGCTGGCCATTTAGGGGGACATGGCTTTCTACCCAACATCCTCTACCTGAGGCTCCATGTTTTATACAACATCCCTCAATCCTCCCCACCAAAGGAAAAAAATCAACAATAAAAAAGGTAAGACCAGAAAAGAAAGAGTGGGTATTATGCTGCCTTAGCTGAACTGTGGAGTAGGGGCAGTAGGGTTTGATGAGGAAAAGAGGAGAGGAGGAAGAACAGAAGCATAGACGGTAAGGGAAGGAAATGGTTACAGGCAGGGAATGAAATCGAGGAGGAATAGGAGATGGTGGTATGTGTGTATGGGTGCGTTTAAATAAGTGTTTGGCAGGTAGTCAACTTGACAAAATGCACACAAGTACCATCCCTCTTTGTCCCGTCTCCTCCTGTCCTAACCACCCAGACCCAGACTAGCGATGGAATCTGATCAAATGCCAAAACAGGCTATCGAAGATGTGTGTACATCTTAATCGCCCTGCGGCTCCTCCGAAAGTGCTGCCGTGGCAACAGGATGGAAATGGGGATCATAATGTATTCATGGTGCCGGCGACCTGGGGGCTGCGGAGCACGCTCTCTAGGGACTGCACTTTACCCAGAGCCAGGCGTGTCTGGGCAAAATCACTCCACACGAGACAGCAGTGGAATACTGAGGAGCCAAGCAGGGAGAGAAGGAGAGCGAGAACGACAGGATGGAGAGAGAGAGAGAGAGAGAGAGAGAGAGAAAGAGAGAGAGAGAGAGAGAGAGAGAGAGAGAGAGAGAGAGAGAGAGAGAGAGAGGGATGAAGGGAGAGAAAGGTGGGAGGCGGATAAAGATAATGACAGGATCGAGGGAGGGAGAGAAAGGGAGAAAGAGAGGGCTATGGAGGGAGAGAAATGAGGCAGGCAGAGAGCGAATGACAGGATGGAAGGAGGGAGAGAGAGAGAGAGAAAAGAGGGAGGCAAAGAGAGCTAAATAGGGAAAACGGAGAGGGAAAAATAAGCAGAAAGAAAGGGCTGGGAGAAATTAAGAATAGGGGGATGATACAGTATAGTATATAAGAATGGAAGAATAAAAAACTAGCTAAGAAAGAGAGAGGAAAACAATGGAAAGCTATAAAGGATGGGATGACAGGAAAGGGAAACAAATGTGATTTGAGGTATCAGGGGCTAGTGATGCAGAAAGGGACGACAATATACAATTCTACCCAATCCCTGTATAGGAACATCAGACAGAGAGAGATGGCTTAACAACAAACAAACGAAAGTATGTGTTTGGGGATTGGGGGGAAGGAGCAGGGTTTTGTAAAGCTGAGTGGCTCTACCTTGAGGAGGCAGCTGCTGCTTGAAGAGGTTGGCGGGGAAATAAATTGCAGAGGAAATTGGTCCAGATTACCAGGGCCACAAAGAGACACGGCCCTTCAGCCACCAGCCAGAGATAGATAAATGGATAGATGAGTAAATGAAAGGAGGGAAGGAAGGAGGGAAGATGGATGGGCGAATAGATGGATAGTTCAGTTCACGACTGAGAGCATAGCAGCGTGCACGCGGACGTACGCACGCACACATACACATTCCCCTCGATTCCTGAAAATAAAAGCTAACATTGGAGACAGATCTCATCCAGAGAAGATAAAGTATGATCAGACACCTTACTAATGGTCTCATACACAAACGCACATACACATACACACACCCTAGCCTGGCCAGGCTCTTCTCTACAGGAGGGTAGCTACAACAGGCACCATGCCAGGTAAACATCCTCAAGCCGTATGTGCTCACCGCCGAGAGAGGGGAAAGATAGCTCACTCTCTGATACTCCAACCTAGCAAAGTAGTCAATGTCAGAGAGATCATACACCAAGGTTAGGTTGTATGTGTTTTACAAGGTTCTGCTGCAGAGTTTCACAGAAATGTTCTTATACATTTTGCTGCATTTAACACACCTCATTTTATCATAGAAAGTCATCATATTTCCCCACAGGAGCCGTGATTCAAACACAGTTAAGTCTCACAAAATGAGAACGTGTTCACCTGCAAACTGAGGTAGCTATTGTGTGCATTAGCTATCCTCCACACGTAGCACACCCTCAGGCATTAAGACTAGGGCCATGGACAACTCCCCTGTCTCCTCCCTTCCTTCCTGATAACTGACAGGTTCTTCAGTACTAAGCACCAACACACCTTTGTGTGTGATGGCTGTATAGCACCGAGCAAGGGAGAGAGAGAGGGAAGAAAGAAATAGATAGACACAGAAAGAGATAGACACAGAGAGAGAGAGAGTGAGAGAGAGAGAGAGCAAGAGAGAGAGAGAGAGAGAGAGAGAGAGAGAGAGAGAGAGAGAAAGCCAAGGACATCAACAGCATGTTCTGGTAGAGAGAGAGATGACCCCTGGCCATCACGAGGCATCTGGTTTATCTGGCTGTCTGGGTAAGCCACGCACACACCTAATGACTGCAGCCCGCTGCCTGCCTGCCGCTGTGTGTCTGTGTGTGTGTGTGTCTGTCCTCTAGGCTGTTTTATCCCGGATTACAGACAGGGAATACAATTGGCTAGTAAACTACTGGGCCTTGTCAGAGCAGAGCTAATACAGATGAGGACTGAGTCCGTTCTCCATTCTAAGGAGACTAAGGGTGAGTTGAGAACAACGTTAATTTACTTTAACCCTTTAGAACCCACAGCGGCCGTCAACAGCCATTCTTTAAATTACTATAGCGGCCGCGAATGGCCTTGTATTTCTAACAATAATATATTGATCAATATTGCAAAATTAACTTGCTAACATTCTGTTTTCTTATTCGCTGTCATATGACTTTTCACTTCATTACTCAAAATGATGGCGCCGAAGAGGCCACTGTGCAAGAGGCTGTATCTATGTTGGTTGGTGATCCCGATTCGGACACGTACTTGCAATTTGAAAGCCATGATGATGTACAGGTGAGTGAAATAATTAAACACCAGATGTACTGTATGTTTGTTGTTGTCGATGTTTGATGGTGTGAAATTTGGGGAATAGCTCTCAGATTAGCCAGTTCTGTCATGATCACCGGGCAGGGGCGGTGTGTTCATTAGGGCGATATGGGCGACGCACTGCCAAACGGGAAAAAGAAGGGATTTTTTTTCTAATCAATTATATCACAGCAACAGTAGTTCAGTGTTCTAATCTAGACGCCTGATCTGCCAATAAATGTCCAATCATGCTAAAGTCGTGCTTCAAATGTCCCCGCCCGTTTTGGGGCGATTTCAGTCAGGTTGAAAATCGCCCAGAAGTCTCTCATAGCCTCTAATGTAAAATATTTTTTTTTCAAATATCTGAGCTTTCAATACAATCTCTATGGGTTTCTGAGGGCTTGCACTTACGCGCTTTCGTCATACGTAACGTAACGATGAACGTAACTAAGAAACTACTCTTTCACCCTGAAGGCGGCAAGGCAGTAACGGACATGCACCATCTTTCAGAAAAGATTAAGAAACATGAGCTGTCAAAGACCCACATGGATAGCTGTTTGAGATTGTCTGCTTTTGGGAGAGTGAATATTGCCACTCAACTGGATGAGGGATACAGGCTAGCTGTCCGCCGCCACAACGATGAGGTTAGCAACAGCAGAGTCGTGAACACTGTCTACGAGAATCGAGACGACCTCATAGAATGTTTTGAAGCCATCCGGACGGGTTCATTGGGTTCATTTGACCAGCACACCTTGAGAGAGGCAGCTGGCTACGTGAGGATACTACATGATGAAGATTTAATTTTTTTCCTGCGGCTTTTTCACAAAATCATGCCCCACGTCGACATTCTGTACCAGAAGCTACAGAAGAAGGACATCGATGCTGTGTTTATCAAACGTGCCCTCGACAGCTTCACAAGCAAGTGCAGGCCATAAGGTAAGATTAAACAATATCAAAAAATGTGGTAAAAGCTCTTGTTGATCCTGCAATCTGAACAAATACCAAGATGCTGTATTTTCAGCTGATATTTCATTTGTTTATGGAAATGCATATTGTTTATGCAGTGTTGAGGAATGTGAAAGAACACCCTTGATTATTTTTACTGTGATAACTTATTTTGCTTTTGTAAGCCAACACTTTTGAGATCAGTCAATAAATGCTTCTGGTATTGACTTATATGCTGCCCCTGTCTTCATGTTGTTGCTGGACATATCTTTTTAAAAATGTGTGTAGGTCACCTAAATCATCAGAAAAATTGCCCCCCCTGAGAATTTTTTCAGGAGCCGCCACTGTCACCGGGTTGATACATACGAGAACATCAGTGGTGGAGCAGTGTTTAGCTGTAGGCCCTGTATAGTCAGCTAACTAGTTGGTTGTTTTGTTGTTTCTACCAAAGTAATTCATATGGAAACGACCCAAGCTGCTTGCTAGGTCAGGTTTGTCTGTCAGGCTAGCTAGAAAAGTTGTGTGGTTGTAAATGTGTCCAGTGCTCGCGAAACGTCAAGCTGTCACTTTCACTACCTAACGTTAGGCATACAGACAACCAGCTAACTAGCCACGAAATAGAGAGAGTAATTTGTGTTTATCTGTTGGATTTAGGTAATGGTTTGTCATGTTTGCTAGTTACAGATATTTATAGGCTATACTTTGCCTCATTTTCCTATTATTTGACAGATGTTTAGCTGTCGTGTTATGGTAGAAGCCTGCGCAGTGGGAGCTCAAATGATATTGAGTTTAAATGATATTTGTTTACATAGCCAGCTAATAGTTTGCTTGTTTTGTCCTGTTTATACCGGTGCTATTCATTTGGAAACTGTCCCAGCTTCGTAACTAATCAGCTATCATTATCTAAATCTGTAGTTGTCTGTCAGGCAAGAAAACGACAGTTGAGTGGAGACGGCAACATTGTGCTTTGCTTGCGACGCTGTCACTTGATCGTCTCACTCCCCCCACTTGATCGTCTCACTCCCCCCCTACAAAGACAACCAGCTAACTAAGTCATCTGACCATGGGTCTTGAAGTGTGTGTACCATATATAGCCTTTATGGTTATAATCTATTAACATATTTATGAACGTCTTCGTGTGTGCTCTATCCTGTCTGATTATAAAGAAGTCTGACAAACATATGTGACCGACCGCCTCGATTCGGTCTTATGTTGCAAAATTTGAAATTGTGTTTTTTACATTTTACATAAAAATACAGACTCAGAACTACAAAATGGTTTATCATACACTGCAGTTGAGGAACAATGGGAAAGTTATTCTGCTTTGGAAGTTGATAAACCTGTAACCCCACTTTTGAGAAAATGACCCTTGAATGTGTTTGTACACCTACTGGAGTGCTCTTCTTTGTCTACACCTATTCTGCATCGTTCACACCCTCTTAAGCCTTAGCCTCACTCATCTCTTTAAGGATTCACATTTGAGGTCATGCGCTAAGCAATTAACCATATTCCCAACCCATACTACTAGCAATACAAACTGATTGTCATAGCTAGCCATCTTGCATGAAATGCTGTAGTATGAATCTGCAGGTAGCTAAAGCTAACCAACTAGGTTCAATGTTAGCTAGCTAGCTATAACTAGCAATGCAATAACTATAATTAGCAATGTAAACTGAACGCTTCACAGCAGACTGGAACCCCTTTAACTAAGTAGCTAAGACGTCCTGTGTCATTTCCATTTGTACAGCTTGTTTGGCCCCCGTTGTGTCAAGTCACTCCGGTTCACACTGACCGTGTGCAGAAAGTAGTCCATCATAACTTTTTCCCACTGATCTTTGTTGATAGCTCCTGTTAAATTCAGGGTAGCAATGTTGTTGAGAGCAGTAGCAAAACTTTTGCAGTTCTCCATGGCTAACGTTATATCTTCCAAAAAAGCAGCGGTAGCAAGGACTATCTACACATACTGAGCAGCTCATGTTATAGACAGAAGCGTGCTACATGGCAGACCAATCTGAACTCATCTCTGGGCATGTCCAGCCCAGCCATTATCTCAGCCAATCATGGCTAGTGGGAAGGTTCCTGTCTTTTTCTGTGGCTAAACCAACTAGACTCATAACTTAACAATTGTATTTGTATTTATATTATTTGTATTTATAGGTGGCATACAAGTTTGTTATTAAGGCACATGAAAGTTCACATGTTCCAGAAGGCATTTCTCCTGTGAAGTAGTGACGTGCGAGATACGCCAAGCTTCCTGAAACGGGTCACATACGCACACAATGAACTGAAAAACAATCTGGCCACTAAGGGCTTTATAAAATCATTTTGATTGATGATTGATTGATTGAATGCAAGTGCTGTATAGCTTTGTGATGATACTGTACAGTGCCTTCAGGAAGTATTCATACCCCTTGACTTATTCCACATTTTGTTGTGTTACAAACTGAATTCAAAATGGACTTTTAAAAAATTCTCGCCCATTTACACACAATACCCTATAATGACAAAGTGAAAACATGTTTTTAGAAATGTTTGCAAATGTATTGAAAATGAAATACAGAAAATATATAATTTACATAAGTATTCACACCCCTGGGTCAATACTTTGTAGAAGCACCGTCGGCAGGGATTACAGCTGTGAGTCTTTCTGGGTAAGTCTCTAAGAGCTTTCCATACCCGGATTTTGCAACATTTGCCCATTATTTTTCAAAAAATTCTTCAAGCTCTGTCAAATTGGTTGTTGATCATTGCTAGACAACGATTTTCAGGTCTTGCCATAGATTTTCAAGTAGATTTAAGTCAAAACTGTAACTCGGCCACTCAGGAACATTCACTGTGTTCTTGGTAAGCAACTCCAGTTCAGATTTGGCCTTGTGTTTAAGGTTATTGTCCTGCTGAAAAGTGAATTCATCTCCCAGTGTCTGGTAGAAAGCAGACTGAACCAGGTTTTCCTCTAGGATTTTGCCTGTGCTTAGCTACATTCTGTTTCTTTTTCATCTTGAAAAACTCACCAGGCATTAACGATTACAAGCATACCCATAACATGATGCAACCACCACTATGCTTGAAAATATGGAGAGTGGTACTCAGTAATGTGTTGTATTTGCCCCAAACATAACACTTTGTATTCAGGACAAAAAGTTAATTTGCTTTGCAACATTTTTTACAGTATTACTTTAGTGCCTTGTTTTGGAATATTTTTATTATGGTTGCATGTTTGGAATATTTTTATTATTTTCACTCTGTCAATTAGGTTAGTACTGTGGCGTAACTACAATATTGTTGATCCATCCTCAGTTTTTTCCTATCACAGCCAATAAACTCTGTAACTGTTTAAAAGTCACCAGTGGCCTCATGGTGAAATCCCTGAGCGGTTTCCTTCCTCTCTGGCAACTGAGTTAGGAAGGACGCCTGTATCTTTGTAGTGACTGGGTGTATTGATACATCATCCAAAGTGTAATGAATAACTTCACCATGCTCAAAGGGATATTCAGTGTCTGCTTTTTATTTTATTTTTACCCATCTACCAATAGGTGCCCTTCTTCGCGAGGCATTGGAAAACCTCCCTGGTCTTTGTGGTTGAATCTGTGTTTGACATTCACTGCTCAACCTTACAGATAATTGTGTGTGTGGGGTACAGAGATGAGGTAGTCATTCAAAAATCATGTTAAACACTATTATTGCAAGTGATTTGATTTGATTTGATCCATGCAACTTATTATGTTACTTGTTCAGCACATTTTTACTCCTGAACTTATTAAGGATTGCCATAAAAAATGGGTTGAATACTTATTGACTCAAAATCTCAGCTTTACCTTTTTAAATAATTTTGAAAAAATTTGAAAAACATTATGGGGTATTGTGTATAGGCCAGTGACAAAACATCTGGAGAAAAAAAAAAAGCGTCAAGGGTTGTGAATACTTTTTGAAGGTACTGTATAAATATGTTTGTGTGTAATGGGATTTGATTGATTGATTGAATGAAAGTGCTGTTTAGCATCATGATTTAGTTGAGTTCATTATGATCCCCATTAGCTATTGCACATGCAGCAGCTACTCTTCCTGGGGTACCACATGATTATACTGTGTGTGTGTGTGTGTGTGTGTGTGTGTGTAAATTAGTAAGTAATGGGAGGTGTGTTGTAACTGTAACACACCATTTTTTATGGAAACCACTAAGAGGTGATTATTAGCTTGTGTATAGCTGAGAAAAAGAAAGAGAGGAAGGGAGAGTGTGTGAGTGAAAGAGAGACAAAGAGAGAGATTATGATCCTGACCACAATTCTCTCTCTCTCTCTTTCTCTCTCACTCTCTCTCAGTGAAAGCGAGAGAAGTGATGTGGAGAGTCAGGGCTCAGCAGCAGAAGGCAGGGTGAAATCGGTGTTTAGAGATGATTGGGGGGATAGAGATGTGGAGCGAGAAGAGAGAAGTGTTGAGCGAGAAGAGAGTGGAGGGAGAGAGGAAGAGGACAGTGAAGAGGAGGGAGAGGAACATGGAGAGGGAAAGGAGGAGGGAGAGGAACAGAAAGAGGGAGAGAACAGCAGAGAGGGGGTCGGCAGGTAGCCTAGCAGTTAAGAGCGTTGGGCCAGTAACCGAAAGGTCACTGGCTCTAATCCCTGAGCCGGCAAGGTGGGGAAATCTGCCGTTCTGCCCTTGAGCAAGGCAGTTAACCCACAACAACTGCTTCTCGAGCGCTGATGATGTCGATTAAGGCAGTCCCACGCACCTCTCTGATTCATTTTTTGTTGTTGTGGTAATCTTTTTTTGATAGTGAGTGTCTTTACACAATGGAAGACAACATGAGTGTTGTGTCATTTTAAAGAAGAGGTTATGCTCTTTACATCTATGTTAACTTGTAATTGTCATTTTTTCTTTGTTTTTGAGCTATGTCTGTTTGTTTGAAATGTGTGAGAAAATTAACTTTATCTTGAAAATTCTCAGTAATCTACAGCAGCATTCTAGAATTATATTGGGGACTAAAGGGTTAAGTTATTGACCGGATGTTCAAACAGTTTTCAAATGTAGATAACTGTTGCACAATGTTGCCAGCATCTGAAAAAAGAATAAATGTTGAATGCAGCCCAGAGCCCAGCTGGTATGGAACTCCTGATCTTACACATTTCATAAGCCCCTGCCTAAACCAGTCATGATCTGACCATGATCTACTGATCTGGAGATGTGGCTGCATGGGCCTCTAGCCCCCTCCTCTCCTCCTCTTCCTCCTCCTCACATTGAACGGTACACGGTGCTCCTGAACGGACCTCAGTAGTCTGCTTCTGCAGTGGAGATTAGTAATCATCCAGGGTGTGCATATTGATGGCCATGTTTGCATATTTACTAGCCTCAGAGCCCAGTCGCCTGAGGTGAGAAGCAAATTACATTTCTGCTGCTTACCACTACTCCGACAACTCTCACTCACACTCTTTCGATCTCTCTAACTCACTTGTGGGGGGGTTCTTTCTTTTTCCCCCACCTCCCTCACTAATTTCTCTTAGCATGGTCATCAGTCATCTTGGGGTGAGCATCCTCCTCCTCCTAGCCCGCCCTGGTTGCATCCATGGCAGATAGCACTGTCTCATTTGGATAACATCATCACAGTGTAATCTTGTTGGAGAGAACAATCAGTTTACTTTGGAATTAGGCATTCCGTCGGTGGAGTACCGAGAGAGAGAGGATCTCACAGGGTTTAAGGGATGCAAACGGAAGCATGCTCTCTGGAATAAGGTCCGGATGCTGATTGGGCGATCACCGCCCACACAGGCGCCATGTGAGAGTAATGAATGGCCAATGGGAAACAGGAATAATAATGCTACTGAATTAAAATCCAATCACACGTTAGGTTTTTGGTGTGTTGACACTATTTGTGGAATATGTTGAACAAACCCCAGCCCACGATGTGGAGAAAAGCAAGATGCCTCATGCTTTGACAAAGGGCACATGTTGTCCTAATCTTCTCAATTTACAACAACCCAGTGTTTCTTGGTTGACAATTCCTTTGAGCTATTTTTATAAATTTGATTAGTTTTTTAGTGTACATCCAGTGAATATAGAATGAAGCTGAATTCAATTGCTGGATGTTATTGTGGCTGTAAAGGTTGGTAGTAGTGAAGACCGCAGGTGGTTGGTTCTTTGCTCATTTTAAAACAGTGACTGATTTAGCGCTGGGCTATAGTACCACAGGTGGCGAGTTACTATTCAATCAGGGGTTTTAATGCCTCAGTTTAGCGCATAGTCACGGCCAAAGCTGGCACACTGCACAGCCCTCTGCAGAATTCTAACCAACCACAAGCCGGGTGGCTATCTGTTAGGAGAGACTCCATCTCTGATCAAATTGATTGACTGACTCCTCCCCCCAGCCAATCAATAAAGTGGGAAGGTGTGAGATGTATAGATTGGGTGACCTTTACATTCACAGCAGTAGAGCGACCCCACGCCAATCCCCTCAAACCCCAACCCACTGCTCTGAAGCATAAGAGGACATCTCCATATACCTGACACTATGGGTTAGACTCCATGCTATTACAGTACATATGGACACACACACACCGTAGTGTTTGTCCTGCCAAAGCACAATCCAGCTGGTACCCTAAGAGACCCTGAAAACGACACCCATCCTGCACATAAAAATGAATTTATGAAACCACCACCTTCCAGCTTTAAAAAATGCTTCGAAAAATACTGCAGGTTTATTTTTGGAGGAAATCTTTCTTGGTGGGTGGTGAACTCCCCATGCTGGAGAAGTGTGTGGGGGGGGGGGGGGGGGGGGGGGGGGGCTGCTCTGGCCCTTACCGCCCCAGCCCAGACACCATCCCCCTGGCCTGGCCAACAACAACAACCCCTGGGAGGTGAGGTGGAGGAGTTGGAGGAGGTGGAGAAACACTGGGACTTTGATAGTGCCTATATTCACACACATGTCAGAGTAAGAGTTCTGACCTTTTAGATCATAATGATATGGTTATATAGAAAGGGGGGAACTGATCCTAGACCAGCACTCTGAGACATTACTTTATGAATCCAGGCCCAGAGTTCCTGAAGCTCTGTGGCCAGCAGGATGCCGTCACACAGCTGGCTCTGTTCCTTCCTCTGGGTCCAGCCCGGTCCACAGAATACAGCCCGCGGGGACACATAAACCTGTCGGACCAGTCACTCTTTCCACCGCCCCCCTCCCTCCCACCTCCCCCCTCACTTCCCTCCTTCCCACCGCACTGCTGGCCGGCCAGTTTGGCAAAGCCGTATGCATCTCAGGAAAAAGCCCTTTGGGGATCAATGTGCAGTACATTTCCACACAGACGTAGGCAAAAGATCCTGTAACCTTTTCATTAGTAAGCATTAACAGCTAGTAAGGTCCAAAAGCCAGTGCTAGGGTTCTTTTAGGACTAGGTGCCATGTTCTCTATGTACAGTGCTGTTTCTAAAACCCTCATTTGGTCCCATACAGATTCCAGACAGACGCACATTATCTTAAGAAAGCACAGCAGCCCTGAAAAGCTCCTTGGCATTTGATATGCTAATACTGAGTGCTAATTATGCACTGGGTGTGTTTGTTCATGTTTCACATGCCACGTGATTGTTTATTAATTCTAACCGGAGCAAGGTAGTGAGCGTTCATTTGTCAACGGCACGCCAGACACCTGTTAGGGTGGCTTCTGATCAAAGGAAATATAATGACTGCAAAAACCATGTTATCAGATGAAAGAAGTAATGTTAACATTTCTGGTCAGAATTGTAAAGTACTGTATTTATTATCAAACAACAACCACCTGTATAGATGAATTGAAAGTGTTGTTATTGATACATTCAATTAACATATTTATTATTGAATAGCTATGCATAGTAGCTATGCCACCTCATTGGTAGTAATACATACACTTACATACACCCAAGTACACACACATCTTGAAGAAATGGAGTCTGTAGGTAGTAGAACAACTGCAAAATCTACCTTTCACAGAGCATAGGTTGACCGAGTGGCGCAGCGGTCTAAGGCACTGCATCGCAGTGCTAGAGGTGTCACTACATCGCAGTGCTAGAGGCGTCACTACAGACCTGGGTTTGATCCCAGGCTGTATCACAACCGGCCATGATCGGGAGCCCCATAGGGCGGCACACAATTGGCCCAGCGTCGTGAGGGTTTGGCCAGGGTAGGCCGTCATTGTAAATAAGAATTTGTTGTTAAATAAAAAAAATCTAGCCCAGCCACACCATTTTCAAGATTCATTATTTGGCTTTTTTCCACATTTGTCTAGTTGTGTTTCTCTATATCATTATTCTGGTGAGCAGCAGCACGTTTGAGCGAAACAACAAAAATACAATCATTTGAATTCCTGGGACCCTGAGGAGTGGAGCCCAGAGGTAAGATCTGAGCTAGCTCTCCTTGCCCTTGCATAGGCTGCAACACTACCTGGTAAACATCACATCACCACACAACCTCCTCACTTTCAAAACACGTCAACCAACCAACCGGTGCCTAGGCTCTTTAGGCACTGGGGCGGTCGACTGACTTGAACATCCAGGAATTTAGACTTTATTTGTTTTTCACATTTCCCTTCTCGTCGGAGAGTCGGTGCACGTAACCTGTCTGGCATTAATGATGTCGTTAATAAATCAGGGGCTAGACGCAGACGGTGGGCCGTGTGGTGGATTTGCCTGGCAGGGCATGGTGCTTCTCGGTTCTCAGAGATAAGCTCCAGCGTGGGGGTCTTATCTGCCTCCTGCAGCCCCACCCAGCAGCACCGTGCGCTGGACACACAACCAGTCAACTCATCACCCGGTAATTACCACCTCTGACGTTTCAACAAAGATGCCCTGCCCTGCCTGCATACAATATGCTGCCTACCAGTGCTGTCTGTCTCTCTATCCTATCATACATTATGCTGCTGAAAATACTGTCTGTCTGCTGTTCCCTAGTCGTTTCATGGCAACATCACCCCTAATCAACATGGAGGTTCATGTTTTGCAGTAGTGTTTATGTGAGGACTGATGTCATTCTTGGTTCAGTCTCTAGGCAGGGAACTCGGTGTTCTGGCTTCAATGTAGGTGGCAGGGTAAATCCTGTACCTACCTGGATTGTACTGTATGTCTATGTGCCGTGAGGGATAAAGTCATTTGTGTTAGGGTGTCTTTACCAGGGCCTTAAGTCATTTGTGTAACACTCTCTCTCTCCGTCGGAGCAGGAGTCGGTCGTCTCATGGCTTCAACCTAGCAGCTAGAGTCACTCGGTGTTACAGAGCGAGGGAGCGGTTTCTTTTATTCAATTGTTTTCCACTTCCACGAGCGCGTGCCAAGGGGGAGGAAAGCGCCGGCTTAACACGCTCTGCAATTCAACACGGCCAGACGCAGTCCTATTAAGATTTAATGTGCCATTCTTCTGCCTGCACTGCTGAAAAAGACTCAGAGGCTGAGTAGGAGAGTGAACAAAGAGCAGGCAGGGACAGGGCCAAAGACAGAGAGACAGAGAGTCAGACTGCTTCACCATGACCGGGCCTCAGTCAAACGTCATCCAAGTGACGTGTCTGATAATGACAAACAGACCATAGATAAAAACAGGGCAAACCACAAGTGTTGCAAATACAAATCCGTAATTTCATGGAATATACCTGATATTGTATGGCTACTTACATGATATTATCTGTATTCTTCCCATTACATTAGCCTATCAACCCTGCTCCTCTATCTCCATCCGATCTCAAAGGAGGTCATCTGGAGGAATGTTAAAGACAAAGAATGTTGTTTAACCCCTCGGGCTACAAATTATGTTTAGTCTCCGGTGGAAAGTCCAAGCACGCAGGTGTGTGTAAGTGTGTGTGTGTGTGTGTGTCAGTCTGTGTGTTTACTATGATTGTATGTATGTGTGTTGGTGCGTGTAAGTGAGTGAGTGAGTGAGAGACAGAGAGAGAGAGGGGGGGGGGGGGGGGGGGGTGGAGAGAGCAAGAGGGGGGAGGGGGTGGAGGGAGATATAGCAATAGATATAGATAGCAATAGATAGAGACATAATTATTCAAGTGAAGGGGGTTCCGAAAAAGGGCAGAGAAGCCGAGCTGCTGAGCTGGTCCAAGTTGGCCCTCAGATTATTACGTCTGTCTCATACACAGGCACAAACAAACAGACTCCTCCATTATTATTCTGATTGTGTTTCTGCAGAAACTGCAGATCTTGGCTGACAAAGACCAATGAATACTTTATACGGTGCATAATGTGTGCGGTGTGAAGCACAGGGGAGAGAGGAAGAGGGCGTCCTCAAGAGGGCAAATGCTTTGAATTCCTAATGACACTCCTGTTAATGTTACCGGCTCAGTCGTACAGAGAGGAAACACAAGGGGCCGCTACACTGAGGAGTCAGATCAACTACTTTACACACACACACAAGGGAAAGACTCCAGCCTAATTCTGAGAGCTCACTCTACCATGAGGTCTCTTTTCAGTGGCTGTGTTGTGCCAGAAGTCGCTGCTATTCTCCCCTGACCGCCTCTCCCCCTTTCAAAGCCTTGTAATCACTGTGCCACCCTTTGTAATGCGCTGTCACAAGACACCCAGGCAAAAACGCGGCAGAATTTCTGATGAACAGCAGAAAGCTCAGAGTTGGGCTAATCAGGGCTGCTCATGTCACCTCTCTCTCTTTCTCAGTGTCTCAAAAAGCTTTTGAAGAAAATAAAGTATTTGCAGTTCATCTGCGCAGTCTTCTTGGCAGCCGCAGAGCAGCTGTTGGATCAATACATGCCTTTTTTCTTAGTGGAAAAAAAGCACAAGTTCAGCCAAACAGTTATTACAAAACCTGGTCTGCCAGCGACTAGTTCATCATAGTTGTGGGTATTACCGAACATTTCCATGCCGCTGATGTCAAATTACTTTTATGTACTTCAAACCAACATGTTAGTGTATGAAGTCAGACAAGGCGAACATATTCAGTGAGACTTACTGTAATTAAATTCTCTATAAATGCTTGAAATTAAATGGTGATACATCCTCAACTGAGAGAACAGAAAAGTCCTCCTATTCCTATGTTCCTACCAAATCACATCAAATCACTGCAGTATTGCCTGAATTGTCTGGTAGGAAATACTGCATCTCATTGTCTCATAGTACATGAATCAACTTTTCTCATAAATCAAACATTTATTTTATTGGATGTCGAATGCATCGCTAAATCTCCACAGGCAAGAGCAGAAAAAGTAAAGAATCTACATAAAATAAATCCATGTAAGGCCCAGTTGTCTCTCTTTCTGATTGATTTCTTTATCTGAGGGAAGCAGAAGACATGCTCTGTTTGCTCTCACAGTGGCTGGCAGGAAAACAGAGAGAGACACTTATTAAAAAGGTCATCTCAAAGAGGGTTAAAATAGCAGACCACAGATCTCTCCTGAGGGTCGAGCGGTGCCCTTTCCTCTAGTGAAGGAAACAAGAAAAGGTGTTGCTCTAGGGAGCAGGCCAGTAATGAAAGAATGGCCACTAGGATGACAGCACCGTGCTATTCAAATGTCTCCAGCAGCAGTGTTCTGTAGGAGAATAAAATTGACAGTGCGAGGCAAGCCACTTTGAAACTGGCTATCTTTTAAATTAAACTCAGTGCTGATGCCATTGTCTATATTTACGTAAAGACAGTAAAGACTACTATAAGTCCTGAGTGTATATTTTCTTATATGCCATTACACTGTCATATATCTCAACTATAACTACTGTATATGTGTCAACCATAATTGTCTCTTTCCCGCAACGGAATCGCTCACAATGCAAGCCAGAGCAGACAATGCAAGAGACTGAGACTGTGGAGAGACAAAGTGTGAGAGCGAGAGCGAGAGGCCTACGAAATAAAAGGCTGACTCCTCTCTCTCCTGCCTCCTCCCCTGGGCAGCTTAAAGCCCTGACGGCAGGATGCTGATCCCAACACAGAAACCTGATCCGCAGCCATCCTGGAGCCCCTCCAGTCCGGCCCCAGAGTTAGAGGGCCGCTTTGGGGGAGCATTCCTCCAGCCCAGCCCCAGCCTCTCCAACCCTCTCCACTCTTGGGTCTCCAGAGAAGCATTCTTCCAGCCCTGCCTTGCCTTCCACCCCAGCCTGTACTGGAACACTGGAAGTCTCCCTCCGGGGGAGCATTCCTGCAGCCCTGCCCCAGCCCAAGGCGGTCTCTGGGGACACATTCCTGCAGCACTCTCCCTCCTCTCCCGTCTCCCTCTCCCAGGCTCTCTCTCGCCTTCATCCGCAGTCCAGCATTAGCACGATCGATAGCACCGATCGCATCGGGGGGGCACGAGGCAATCCATACCCCCGTGCTCCCTTAGCGCACTGCAGTGGTCACGGCTTAAGTGCATGGAGAGGTGTTAAACCTCGGCCAGACGGTGGGGAGACAATGGCAGCCATTGATCGGGGTGACATGTTACATCTCTCTCTCTCGTCTGTCGGGCGTGGTCTAGTAGATACTGTATGCTACAGCAGCAGGGTTTTCGGAGATCGTTTGTTCTTTCAACTGTGGATAGTGTTTTAAGGTTTATTTACCAAGGGATAGTGGGACTGTGGGTTTGGGACTGTGGGTTTGTGAAGTGTATGTACTTGTATGGGTATACATATCCCTGTGCATGCATTCTGAAATAGAGTATGGTAAATATTCACTAGACTAACTAAATAAGAACAACCATTTCTACATTTTTCTACAAAATCCTACTAATTCTCAGTATCAGGGTTGGTTCCAGTTAAACTCTGAATGTGTTTCCTAAAAATAAAACATTAAAAACTGATTGTAGAAGTGGAGAATTCAGCAGGTGCTTGTTGTTGATTAGAAAGTGGTTTTAATAAAGGATCCATCTGTGAGCTGAAAGTCGATGTAAAGCAGATTAATTGGTCATGGATGTCTACATAATGCCACATAGGAAATCTCTGAGAAGATTCCAGAACGAAAAAAACACAAACGCGCGCACACACACACACACACAAACACACACAGACACACACAGACACACACAGACACACACAGTATGCTGTACGTTTATTTTTTCTCTCACTCTCTCTCTGTTTGAATACTAATAGGGTGGTTGTGCACAATCACAATACCCTAATGGCAATTAGATTCCTTTTGTTTGGCTTCCACAGGGGCTCTTAGCCAAACTCTACCATTCAGCAATTAAGACTTATTTGTCTGTGAGATTGACATTAATAAAGGCCTTTACTTAATTATCGGATAAATAATATGGCCGAGTTGTTCATTGTGACCCCATCAAGATAATGTATGACCCTGTCTAATGAGTCAGAACATGTTTTGCTATTGCTCTGCTCAAAATGCCCTAAAAAAAATCTGAAAACCTTTCAGTCCTTTAAAGGTGCCAATAGAAATATACCTCCCGCTGTTCCCAATCAGAACATAATAGGACAAAGGTGAGCAATGAAACAAATCAAAAAGCTATTATAATTGGCAATAAAGTTTGAAGTCAATGGTACAGCATGAGCTTCTCTCCTCTACCTTTAATAAAATGGCCTTTGTGCAATGATTTCATATGTATGCCAAATATAGTGTGCTGGAATCAATATTGGTTTGATGGATTGCTGGGTTGGGGGTGCTGATTAGTTTCTTTTGAGTGGGGGGGTAATAAAGGCTTAGTTCACACATTTTGTGGGAATGTATATATAAAACACCCCTACTTCCTGCGGCTATGTTGCTGGGTGTATTAAATGGAGATGGCTGAGAGCTTTATTCAAGCCAGGGAAGTAGTGCTTTTGTTATATAGTCATAATGTGCAAGTGCACATTCAGT